TCGATCCCGGTGAAGGCAAAGGTACTTTTGTCATCGCATGCGAGGATGGAGGGGTACGGTGAGAGGGCGTGGGTGAAAGAGAAATGACTCCATTGTCCGGTGCTGCATCTACCGCGACTTCATCTGCGGGTCTTGCAGGAGCAGTCTCTTTGAGAGGTCGGGCGTTTAACCTCTGTTTCCCATGTGCCTTACTCACCGTGGTTGAAGATAAGTCCGTGCTTGCACCGGCTTCATTGTTCGCGTGGCGACGAGGTGTCTGTTCCTGAAGCGACAAGGCAATCGCTTGCCGCAGCGCCTCATCTTCACTAAGATCGCCATTATCATAGCCAAGAGACGCAACCTCCTCATCATGGCTGGAGAGGTTCTTTTCACCAATATCGTCGCCGTCTTCAGACAAGTCGACCTCTGAGATCTCGATCCGGCGTTGTTTTCCCTTGCTGTTGTCTCTTCGTGCGATAGAATGCAATGGCTGAGTGGGAGTGCCACGTTCGGTGTGGCTACTGACGGTGGAACTTCTTGATGCATTAATACGAATGAGATGCTCATTCTCTGGCGTATTTCGAGGAAGGGTATTCAGATCAATCATCTCGCGCGGGATTTGTGAGTTTTCAGACGTGAAATCTTGTCTGGTGCCTCTGCCAGGTTCCTTACTGTGGCTTGGCCCAGGATGTCTAACGCGTCTCTTTGCAGTTGGCCGGGAAGATGGATCGAAATCCTCATCGTCATCAGAGAGAAGGTCGATGATTTGAGGCGCCATTCTTGTGATTTGTCTCACGGAAGCGCAGGCGTGTTGTCGTAGGCGGTCGCGGGATGACTTCGTCTCAATTTGAGCAGGTGTAACGCTTGACGTGCGTTATCCAAGACGTGATGAGTCTAGCCAGTTCGGTGGGTAAGCCTGGCTATGTCGAAGAGACCCAGAACATCTCCTCTTGGAAGTGAATGACAAGACTACCTCCAACAAGTTTGGTGATTAGGGTGAGGTGAAGGTCAGCGTGCAGTGAAGTAACCGGTTTAGTGTCTGGATATGATCTTAACGAAGTCGGTCTCCGGTAGAGTGCGGCCTCAAATGATCCTTGAAATATTGGATGGTGAATGTCGACAAAGACAGTTGCTCAGGAAGACCAGTGGCGTAGGCGATTGTACATCAACAAAGACGAAGTGGATTCCCGCCGTTGCACAATCAGGAGATGTTGTCGCGAAGACGCAATGACAAAGGGTCTGCCAGACTAATAGATAGTTTTGATGGTGATTTTGAACGCGATGCCCTTGGCGCAGGTATCCAACATAAAGAGGTCAAGCTGATATTTGCCCACAGGCTTGGCAGGATCGGGGTGTTGTTGATATTTAATGCTGATAGAGGATGGCTACAGCGGTTTCGATGTTGGGGCAAAACAGCCCTCCCAGATCCTGGTCTCTCACGATTGAACTGGGGAACACTGGTAGGCTCACATCACGACTATAATCAGCTGAAAATCAAAGCCTGAGGATGTATGTCATGGAAAGCTGCACGGGGAGCCACGTCTGATGCGATATCCAAAAGGGTGCGAGGTGGGTGGGATGTGGGCAAGGCTGCGAGATGCCGTGGTTGTCGGGTGGCTGCTCCTCAGCCTTTGTCTATACCAACAAGATCCATCAACAAGCACGGAGGTCCGTGTTACGTGTGCAAGCTAGTGCGAAAGCCGTACAGAGGAAATGCGAGGCTTCAAGATGAGTTACGATTAGGATCAGTCACCAGCATATAATATGGCGCATGCTGAGGTGAAGTTGTGCAACGTGACAAACCGCTGGATCATCACGTGCCCACGTGTTCGGGACGCGTCAGCAATACTATTCCCACCTCGAATCCCCCGAATTCTAGGAGACTAAATCCAGAATATCAAGGGAGTATGGGTATACAGTGGATCCAAGTTGTTTTATGTGAGATGCAGAGGCCACAAGCGCCAATCAGACGTCCTTGGGTATGTCAAGTCTCCCTCAACCTTGGATCTCTTACCGGCGGCTTGTCCCTCCAAACCCAGTGCTTTCGTGTCTGGTGCTCGAATAGCTCGAGCTCGGTGAACTTGTATTCCTTGAAGATGGCCCTGGTCTGGTCGATGCACCAAAGCCGCCGCCTCCTCCACCCCCAAACCATCCCCCAGTCGCCGGGGCTTGTGGCGCAGGTTGTGTGCGCGCACCCCTCCCAGCCAAATACCCTGCGGCAGCTCCAGCAGCCGTCCCTGTCCAAAATCCGGGGCGCCAGCCTTGTTCCTGATATCCGGCCCCGGTAGTTCCTGCGCTTGAACTTGAGCCTGATGACCAGGTGGCCTTTTTGGGTCGGGGAGGTGGCCGGGGATCGTATGGAGGTGGAGGATCATTGTCGCCTCCACCTCCCCCAACCCTCCGCCTCCTCGTGGTCTTCTTCTCGGTGTATCACTACGCCAGGCATTGTAGAGACCGCGCAAGATGATGAACAGAACCACCCCGAACAATCCCATGAACAAGTAGCCAGCGTATTTCTCTGCCGTATTCTCACTGCGCTGTGCGCCACGAAAGTCAAAGAAGCTTCCAGAACCATACTTTTCCTCTCCCTTCTCGGTCAACAGAAGTGCGTACTCGACACCGCAACTTCCCGAAAGAACATATGGATCTTCGCTGCTCTCGTAGCCCTCGCACGTCACTTCTGTGCTGCCCAGCTTGAATTCCTCGGGAAGGGAAGCTTTGCAGCTCCACTGCACGTTGTTTTCATCATAGTCAGAACCCTCGTTGGTGCACCTCATGACATCAACCGAGTATAGCTTGCATATTCTGGGGTTTCCCACGCATTGTAGCTGAGGCACGGGAGAGACTCGACGGGAGGTGGTTTGTTTGCCGGCGCGGACGGTGATGGCAGAAACCTTGGAAAGTAAGACAGCATTTTTGGGGACCTTCTTAGGGTTTGTCTTGCGAGCTGAGAGAGCTGTGCCTGCTAGGAGAAGGGTTAAGAGGAGAAGTAGTTTGATCCTTGTTACGGTTGCCATATTTCGTCTGGTAGTGCTTCAGCTTCAAGTTATTGCCCTCGACAAACCATGGAAAGATGTAAGACGCCAGAGACTGAAGAAACGCAAGCTCATTTCTATCGCGTATAGGCTTATTGCATTCCCGCAGGTAAAAGAGGGCATCTCAAAGAGACAGGGTGGCCAGTTCAACGAACGAAGAAGAGGCGAAATCTGGGTGCCTAGTTGCCTTTGTTGCGGGCGCAGGATAAAAATATCCCATTTGCCCGCAGTTCACGTGCTGCTACGAGACGTGACTTGCTGCTTTGCCCCTGAACGCGCTCGCCTTGAACCTTTTGCACTCGTCGCCGCACTCACCTCACTCAGGTTGAAAGCAGAATACGACGGTGCAGTGCTAACGACCTTTTGGTACATACGACGATGATTACGATAGATGATGTAAGTCAACAAAGGAGGTATATACACGCAACGCTGGAGTTGATTATGGTTCCGAAATTGGCCGCCTCGATGGGCAAGACTTCAGCCTGATCCTGGAGAGCATAGTGGAGACAATCGATGCTCTCTACAGGATCGCTGCGCGGGTCACAAGTCCTGCAACGAGGACTCCGACCAAAAAAGTCCTACAGGTTGCATTGAGATTGGGCAACAGCGATATTGATATAGCCACTTTCCTGACAGTCACCGCCTACAAGCACCACATTAGAGAGGCCCTTGCGTCGAATCGCACAGAACTGGAGTCCACTGACCTTCTGCGAGCGGCAGAATCTGTGTGTGAGGTTGCCGATCGGCCTTGTCCCATCTGCTTTGCCCACATCCCCGATGCCGCTGCTCTACAACATCATGTAGCATCCCATCTGATACGAATCGCTCTCTTTGCTCTGCCGCGTTCGACGGGTGCAGACGGTGGTACAGAATCAGGGATCAGTTGGTCTGGGACAGCAAAAGGACACCATTCGGCTTGTTCTCACGACGCATCTGGACGTGCCCAACTTAAAAGGATCAGTCAACAACCGAGGACTTTCCTCGGCTCAGAACCTGGCCGCAGTGAATAAAAGCGTGCAATGGGAGTGCAGGAAATGGACGCTTGACATTTACTGCACCGGAAGGGCTGGACGACAGTCTCTTAGCAGGCAAGAAGTGGTCCGCAAACGCGGAGTGGTTCACGGACGAGAAACCTAGAGGATTCAATGACACCTCGACGTCGACTACTTCGCCGCGTGAGATCACAACCCTGTCCCTGGGAACACCGCCTGAGAAAAAAGGTCAAATACACAAGATCTCCAAAAAAAAAAAAAAAATCAATCAATTGCTCCTCCCGGGAAGGAGGTGGTAGTTGAAAACGACAAGCCAGCCAGAATGGAAGATGGTTTCATTTGGTCGGAATCTGGCGCCCTTTTTTTCACTGTTCCTTGAGATGGCGATAATAACCCTTGCCTGACTCACGGGAGTTGGCGCATGTCAGGGGGGCGTTGAAACCATCCATGTATGTGGAAGGGCAACAGGTAAAGTGATCAAATTCATATTCTGCCTTTGTGTCAAGGGAGTATCCTCAACCTTAGTGGCCCTGTTGCATTACACGGTTGTTTCCGAAAATCATACAAGTTTCCTCCTTTCTATGATCACAAGGCAATGTAGCTCAGCTACTTGATAGCATATCATCGCGGTCCATCATTGATCTCATAAGACCTCATGGTCAACATCGTCCGTAGCTCGTCATAATTCCGCTAGTTTATGTGGCATCCATCATCATAGAATAAGACCTAGCTCAGGCATGCAAACTCTCAGGATGTGGTGTATCATACCGAGACATGTTGCCTGCCACAAGACCTGCCCCGGGACTGTCCTGATTAACACCCGTGGCAGGAAAGAAAGTAGCGCCGTGGAGAACATGTACGAAGATTTAGAGGGTATCTGTTCGCCGTGAACCACAGATTGAAAAGGGGCGCGCAAAAGATCATAATGATAGTAGCGATGATGTGAAGCCGGCAGCCATGTGTTGATATTCGACCGAATCGCATCCTCCTGTCCTCAGCAGCAGTCAATGTCTTTGATGGCGACAACATCGGGTAACGGGGCGTATCGGAGGCCGCTCTTTTTCTCCAGTTTCGTGCGCTCAATCAAGGCCTGGGTTCGCCACCTTGATTCGAGCCTCGCTCTCTTCTTGTCCAGGACCATCCTCAAATCGGCCTCCTGGCTGGCAAAGTCGCGATCAATGACAGCCAGTTCCTTTTTCTGGTCTCTTTCCAGAACTTCCATCTCTTTTTCCTTTTTCCGTATGAGATTCTCCACAGCTCTCTTCTGCTTGCCCCGCAAAACATTGATTTTGGAAGTGTGCAGGGTGTCCATGATGTCTCGTTCACGGTACTGTTGGGCGAGATTGTGATAGTCTTTATCTGTGACTTTGCGTTCTGGGAAGATCGAATCGATAGAAGCATGTCTGGAGACTGGATCCACAGGAGTCTCAGGTGGAGTGGGATTCTGACAATAAGCTTCCATATGCCGTAAGCGCAACATGATAGCTCTCTTTTCGAGTTCATGATCCTTTTCCATCTTCATTTCTTCCTCGAGTTGTCGCGCTTCTAGGTCTTCTACTGCCCGCTCAATCTGTCACGCATCAGCAACAACGTCAACAAAGTCTCAAGTCCAAACGAACCTTTGCTCTTTGTTCAGCAATGGCATTTGCATGCGAAGTCTTTTTCTGTGCCCTGAGAAAATCGCGTTCTGATCGCAAGTGCGCCATCAATGAAGCCTGAAACTCTAGAAAACGACCCTTTTCATCCAGTTGAGTCATTTGAAGGTTGAGTAGTTCCTTGCACCCCATACTTCTCTCCAACGCTTCTGTGTCCTCCAACGTTGGCGGTTCACAACTTGATTTTGCCATGAATAATGGTTGCGACCACGAGCTCTGACTCGATTTGACCGACGTGGGACTTCGCATGTTCACGGACTGATCTTCGCTACCGTTGCTGTCGGCGTCACTGTTGATACTTGTAAGGGTTGAAGACGCAGTCAAACCCGCCGACCGTCTCTTTCGAAAACTTGCCATTTTTTGGAACCCTCGTTTTAGTGGTGAGTATTTCTTTCTTTCGCTCGTCAAGGTAGGTGAGAGGCCGCCCGGTTTCGGCGGGGTGTAGTCAGAGGTCCGGGACGATTGTGTTGTTGGCCGATGCTCACTAGAGGCACAGGACGTCGCTGCGGTGGACTGGGATTGGATGGAGCTTTGCTTCAAGGAGCCCGAAGCGATGGTAATAGTCGAGACTGAAGAAGCAATCTTTCCAATGTCCGAGGTAATCCGCAACGGTGATATGCCCAAACTATGTACCTCGGACGCAACCTGATCATCAAGTTCATCTTCAGAAGAGGTAGGAGGCAGGTGAAGAACAGCAGCGTTATAGAGAGCATGATCGAACGGCGTCTTCGAAGTCGACCATTGCTGCATGTCGGAGCGATCTGGTATCCAAGTTGGGCTGCCGGGAGGCATTGGGGGCTCTCCGACTAGAGACAAATGATGATCAGCAGCCGTCATGATGGACTGGATCCAAAGGCTGAGAAAGAGGTCGCAGAGGTTATCTCATTGTGTATTGGATGGGTTTGTTGCACCAGAAAACGTCTCTCGTCGTGCAAGGAGTCTAGCGATGGCTTGTAGCAGCGCATGAAACTGCACTAGAAGGTATTCAAGCCCTGCCAGCCCGTTGAAAATCGAGAACTTGCAGCCTAGCAAGAGAAGGAGTGGGGGTGCGTAGCGATGATCTGGTCTGGAACCCCGTTGTCAGTCAAATTTGGTACCACGTCAAGGGCCAAGGAGAACAGACATGGACGTGCGGCGGTTTCGAGATGAGCAGGTAGGGAAGGGGTTTTTTAATCGAGGTGATACGTAGGCATACAACAAAGTGAAGAAAGGAAAAATGGGTTTCAATGAGAAGCGCGGTTGTCCCCAGCGGGTAAAGGGTCTTGCCGATTAACGACTGAGCGAAGTTCGTTTATGAGACTATGTCATTGGAGAGTGAGGCAGAGGGTGCAACCGCGGCACTGGGTCCGATTCCATTTGAAAGATCGCGTTCCCACCAGCCAAGTGAAGGGCCTCGTTCAATCAATGAAGCCTGAGCTCCGCGACTGGTCGGAGCGAAGTAGTCACCGAGAGGAGAAAATATGAGGAGCTGTGGTGAAGAGGCGAGGAGCCTACGGGTGTGAGGAAGTCTGGCACTCGAAAGTTTGGGAAAGGGAATTCGATGCGGTTAGGGGATTCTGTCAACTCGGATCTGCTTGCAACAGTCTTTCCTTCCCATCGCCAATAGTGGATACAAATGCAAAGGCGGTACGAGGGTAGAAACCACCGACGTCAAGCGCCAACCTGTCTGCGACACTGCGGGCGAAGCACAGACCAGGTCACTCTTTTTCAAATGCCGACCTAGTAGGTGTCACAAACGGCGCCCGAGTAAAGCTACATTTTTGCCCTTCACTCTGCTGCCCAGTTTCCGCTTTGTGCAATATCTCTCTTTTCCTCCTCTTGATGTACAACATTCAGAAATGGGAGAAGTGTGCCGAATGTTGGCTTGAAGCTGGAGATTCTCCTCGTTTGGCGCCCGTTTGACTTTAGGCTTCGCTTTCTCCGAACCATTGAAGGGGGGCGCCGAAACACGTCATTTGCTAGGCGATTGGAGAGCCCTCGATGCAGGTTTGAACTCTAGCATAGGGTGCATGGGTGCAGAGCTGATTTTTGGGTAATGGGGTTTATACTGGAGGATGGCGCTCTTGATGTCCAAACCCAATAGGTCGACAGAAGGTAGTATTGCCAACAGAATCCAAGCATTCAAAATTCGGTGGTTTCTGGTAGGCATCCAGGCATCTAGGCACTTGACATCGATGGTAAGATCTGCCCTAAGAGAGTCGATCAAATATGGTGCAGGTGATCGGACGTCGAAAGAGGTGGATCGATCATCGGGCGCGAGAGAGGAGCCGCCGAGGGTTCGAGATCGCGAGCTTCGGGGTTTGACTTGGCCAGTTTCCGTCCCCAGCAGCCCCGACCTCGCCAGCAGATGCTTCTGGTGCATGAGCTGAGCACTGATTTCGTCCAGTTACCGCATCGCCTCGCTTTCGATGGACCTGGGAGTGAGGCGCTTGTCGACCATCGACCCAGAGGTAATTGACGGCAACACGTCACAGACTGGCTCGCGTATCGAATGGCTCACAGATCGGCAGTTAAGCTCTCCGCACCCGAAAACTGGGGTTTCCCAACCGACCCATCTCATCCCAATCCCTCGCAGTCTTGCTCCAACTTTGGCAGCTTTCCAGCCATACAATTCCTCCGCGACCGCTGAAGTGCACACCATCTTGGTTGTCTCGGTCCATCAACCGAAGACGTACGCCCTGGTGTTCACCGCCTCATGCCCCTCGCTCTTATCTGAAGTTGTGGAATGGCCGCAAACACCTCTTCGTACACCTGACACTTGCTAGACTGGGTCCTCTAGCTAGTTTGGAACAGCTAAATACCACGACCTGCACACCGTCAAGCGAGAGGGCTATATTCCCCCATTCGATCACCCGCCAGTCCCAGATAACCGTTATCAGATAATCCGAGATGTGGTCGGCAGAAAGAGGCCGGTGTGAGCAGTTCCAAAAAAAATAAGCAGGTGGATCTCATGCAGGTGGATGTTGATTGATTTAGCTACACCTCGATTGGTCCTATATTCTCCGCAAAGCAATGAGAAACTTGAATGCATACATTCCGCATAACAGTTGCTGAAACCCTGCCAGTGTTCGTACTCAGCTTCCGCCACTTTGATCCCACTTTGCCGAGTAAGGCTGGCCACATCGAGCTCATCCTGGCTTGTGTCTGGAGCCTTATGAAGAAGTCTGCTCTATCATCTTCGAATGTATCGCGGCCAACTCAGGAATGATCAGACTCTCGATCTCCATGCCCTCTGTCACAGCACCTCCCTCCAAATCGTGGGGTTCAGGGCCATGCTTTCGCTCTGCCTTGCCTACCAGAGCCTCCACTCCAGAAAAACTTTTGGAGCGCCTCGTCTTTGGAACTCGAATCCATTTCTCCCCACCACCACGAGTAATAAAGACGACCTCCCATTTGCGGGTAGTGAGCAGATTGCCAATCACGAGGTCATGTTGATAGCGCTCCAAAGATTGTTCGGCCTTGGTCACCAGGAGATCCGGGTTGGTTTCCAGCTTGAAGCTTACTATCATACTGCCCTTGGGAGCCCAGCTATGCACCAAATTGCTGAGGAACTTGGGCACTGGGTCCAGATTGATGACCAACTGGCGGCTGGCGCCACCTTCAAGAGACTGGATCTTATGCTCCTCCATCCGATCTCTCGGGATGAAGAAGTCAGAAACTGCAGCCGCCAAGTAGAAAAGCGCCCGGTTTCCAAGAGGGCGCATGATAACAGCCAGGCTGCGAAGCTCGAACATGTATTCTGTGACAGTGGTAAATGGAAGGAGCAAGAGCAATCGATTCTGCTTGGCGTGCTGATACTGCCTCAAAACTCGCCGCATCTTTTCTTGATATTCTGTTCGGACAACTACCCGTTCCCCATCCCCGGATTCCTCCATGAAATCGAGGAAGCAGTTAGTACTGTGACTGTAGTGCCTAGAGTAGGGCAGAAGACTGAATTGCCGGTGCAAGAAGATGACTGCATAGCCTTCCTGCAAAAAGTATTCCGCCGAGGTGGCTCCTCGAGTCCCGGCAGAGAAATTGTCAATGAAACGCACGGTTTGATTCTCTAGTGGAACAGTCGTGCCCCCGGAAGTGACCAAGGCGATTCGACGATTCGGCGCATTTTCCAGGTGATGTTGAATGAACTCCCGAGCCAACGTCTCATGGTTGGTTAGAGACTTGGGAGCAGGGTTGTTGTGGAAATAGGCCATTTCGGCTTGCTCGTGTGCTGTTGTCCCATTTGGGTTTTCTGGAGACATGGTGGCGATTGTATGAGATTTTCACAGCTGGTGTGATGCTGTAATTTAATTTGGTAGAGCTTAACTGGCGATCCTGCGAAAATATACCAGCCGACGAGAGGCAGCAGCGAGGCAGGGAGGGGTCTTTTTCCAAGCTGGTTTTGAATTCAATGAGACTCGCCTTCACAGGTAATGCTGCTCTATCCGCCAAATGAGTCAAAGACTGACAAGGGGTTGAATGGTTAATGTTGAGATCTATCCCGTGGTCCGAAGATTGTCGGTGACTTTGAGTATGAGAAATGCAGCGCAAACTCCATCCTCAGTGCCATTCATGGGCGAGAAAGTTGCATATTTACACGGATCTCACTCGAAACAGGATGGCATCTGGTCACTGGCACGCTGTTTGAAGCATGAGCATCTATATACCCCTGACCGGAAGGACGTCTCCAAAGTCTTGACGGCCTCCTCAGATATATAGTGTCCGTAACAGTTTGAAGATGTTGTTCCGGTCATGATTTCGTACCGAGGTCCGGAGAGACTCGATTAGCAGAATCACTACGTCACACGTCCACCAAGTCAAGCTCTCACGTGACATCTCCAAATATCACGTGGCCACAATCGCGAACAAGGCGAACGGCAAGGCTGATTTTGTTCCATTCGCGGTTCTAGCCTTTAAGGGTGCTTATGTGCCGCTCGTATTCGGGTTTCAGCATGATCTTCACTAGCTAAATGCCCAATATGTCAGGGAACGAGCCATCTACAGGTCCGTTCACCACGGGTACTCTAACTTAGGGTTAGATGTTCCAATTTGCTTTGATCTGTTCCAATGGCTAAGACGTTTCGAGGCCATTGTGCGGGTTCGCGTCAAAGGATCACTCATTTTGCCATCAATCAGGTTGCAAGCTATGCGAGGCACCCACGAGGCGTCCTTGTCTCTGGTGAGGTCAATGACATCTCCAGTCGTGATTCAACATTGTTTCTACTGATATTTCTGGGAAGAATGAGTTCCTAACAGACTTCCCTGTAGAGCTGCATTCCAGGGTCGTGGCTGAAATGTCTGAGAGATTGACTCCTCGCGTATCCGGCACGTGTATATACGTGGCGTTTTTGAACGGGGTATATCTGTCCACGGGCTTCGACTTTGCACAGCCCTTAGCGTGGTAGGCGCTTTCAGAATCTACTGACATCTGTGACAGCGAACTATGGTGCACTGCTAGTCGACCTCATTTATCTACCCGACCCTCGAATTTCCAGCATTTAAACGCGCATACGTCCACATTTTCTTCCTTGGACCAACAGCTCCTTTGATCTCCTCCCTCCATCCTTCAATATCATCGAGAAACGAGAAAGCCTGTGACCATGAACTCAGATATATCGTACTGGATATATCGGCCAGTAAAAGGGGTCTCTATTGCCTTTGCTGTGCTCTTCTTCGTCTCTGGAGTTCTTCACGTCTGGCAAAACAATCTCAAGTACAGAGGTTCGTGGCGAATTGGCTTTCTATTCCCATGGGCGGCAGCACTGTTCGTCGCGGGCCTCGCCACCCGAGAATATGGCGCCTATCATACCGATGATCTCGGCATATTCATTGCCAGTACCGTTTTGTTGGTGGGTCTCCCTACTCTTCGAAGTCACTTTCGTGTCTGGATACAATTCCAATGTCAGTTGGTATTCAGGTGGGCTCGGCTAACATATCAATAGTTCATCGCTCCACCAGTCTACAACGGTGCGGACTACTTCATATTCGGCAGGCTATTGTACTATATACCTTATCTCTCTCCTCTTCACCCAGGCCGTGTCTGGACCACATTTGTTGCATTGGACCTTGTCGACGGGATAATTGCAGGTAACGGAGCGTCCTATGCGGCAAATTCCGACAACAGTGACTCAAAGGTAAAAATGGGCATCATTCTGGTCAAAGTGTCATTGTTCCTCTTGCTGGGCATGTAAGTCACTGCCGTCCGAGGAGATCCACTCGGCGAACCTCATTCTCAAGTCAGAATCAGTGCACACGCATGAAGACTAACACTAATTACAGGTTTCTCGCCTTTCTATATCTGATTATCGTCTTCCACAGACGATGTATCGCGGCAAACGTCTTCACCCGCAAGGTCAAAGTTGTCGTGTACTCGCTCTACGCTTCAGGCTTCCTGATCCTCATCCGCAACACCTTTCGCACCGCGTCGTTCTTCTATCCGCCAAATTCAACTGCAAATGGGAAGGAGTGGATTTTTTGGGTGCTGGAGGTTGTTCCAATGCTCATCAATACCTATCTCATGAATCTCTTCCCACCTTTGAAGTACCTCCCGCACAATCACAAGGTATACCTCGCTATGGATGGAAAGACAGAAATCGAGGGCCCGGGAATGGTTGACAATAGGCCATTTATCCTGACAGTGATTGATCCATTCGATCTTGTCGGGTTAGTGACGGGACAGGACAACAAGAACAGATTTTGGGAGCATGATGGTATTGGGGGACCAGGAGAAACGGCACAAGGTGCAACTGGAGAGCATAGCGAGCTAGGGCAAGCCAAAAAGGGCCGCCATGACAAAGCTCGAGTCCAGGATAGTGAGTTTGTATGAATGGCTTGTCGGGAATGCTGGGGCAGGGTTATAGACGTCTGATGGAAGCAGTTTTTTTTTTTTTCTTACGTAGCAGTTACTGTTGATACTTTTAGAATAGTTGGAGTTGTTGAAGCTAGGCAACAATTACAGGTGATTGTGGACAGAAGGAGTAGCAAGTTAGGTAGCAAGAACAGCTATGAACATAGATATTTCATACCAGAGGAACGAGGTCTTCAGCCTCGGAACCAGCAGCCGGAATGATCCCTTCAGGGCGCCACGCTTATTATTAATTACAGCCTCGTAGCGAACAGGATACGGAGGTGCCAAGCTCTTTCATCATCCTCACCTCAGTCTCCACGCTCCCAACACACCTTCACCAACTTTCGCGCATCCAGGGTTGCGTCACGGATCTCTTATGCCAGTACCACCAGTATTGATACTCGGTGTCGTCATGGTTCACATGGACTCGCCCACTTTGCACATAAGGCTGCAGATTGGCGCAGCTGACTTCTGCCTTTGCTCTGTCTCGCATTTTTGACTTGTCTCTGACAGACTAATTTCTGTCGCAGCTTAGTCGCTCTCACGGTAATCTGGAGACACCTACACATAACACTATGACCGACCGCACACAGGACAAGACCCACCAGGCCGTGGGGGACGTCAAATCCGTTTTGAAAGGGGTCAAGGGCCTGGGAGACACTATTCGTGGCACAGTCAACGAGTCGGTCGATACAGCCTTCAACGACCGGGAGGGAGAAATCAGAAATAAAGCGGTCAAGGAGAAGGGAGAGGCAGACATACAGCGGGCCGATCAACGTCTTGGTACGAGCCTCCACCCACAGTATCCACGATGGGTATGTTAACTTGTCGTCAAGCAAGGGAAACCCACGGTGTAGGAACAAGTGCCGCAGGTGGCACAACCACCGGCGCAGGTGCGCATTCTGGAGGCGTTGGGAACATGAGCAGCACTGTGCCCGCGAGGGGTCTCGGTGGTGAACCTACCAGCACAAGGGAGAGATTCTGAGTACATGGAGGATGACAAGATAAGGTGACTTGTTGGTTGATTAGGCAAGCAGTTGAACGAGTCGAAAAGGACGATATGGCAGCTTCCAAGTCAGTAGAGACCCGGTCTGGTAAGTTCGGGATCACGAAGCACGTCGAAGTGTCCGGAGGCCAGACACCATTGCGACTCGAGACTTGGCAAAATCTATCTGTCTATCAGTGAATCTTATGCCCTTAGTATCCTCCCATGGACCTGTGATTCACTTCTAGTGCTGTCCTCTTGCCTCTTGTTTTACTGGATTCGACGCCCTCTCAAGCTGCCTCTCTCCCCCTCTTACCAGCAGCCTTTAACCCGGACTCTCAGATTACTTCTGGCAACTACGACAGCTCGCGACTTTAGCCTGGTCGAATCCTCTTCACATTCCGTCTGGCCCGCCACGTCCACGCCTTCCTCACCCATCGAAGTGCTGTAAGGCACATTTTCGAATTTCTCAGGTTGAATGAAGGCATCAGACTTACGCGTGACAGCAGTTACCAACCATCCCGCGTCTGCTCGCTCTTGCTTCCAACACAGTTTTCTCGAAGGCAGCATGCCATCCTCCGTCGAAGAAGGAGAAATTGGCTTTGTAGTTGACGAGTCACGAGCCATGTCCATTTCCTCTTCAGAAGACAGCGATGACCACCACCCCTCCGGCGCCTCTCTCTCAAATCTGCAACGCTTCCCCAATCCCTTCTCAGTTTCAGCTTTCGGAGTATGCCTTCGTACACCCAGCTTGACTTGGATAGATGCTGACGTATTGCAGGCCATGTTACAGCCATTGGACACAAGCTTTCCAACTCAACCCGAGCCTGCATTCCACTACACAACATTCCAGACGGCGGAGGAGGAGGGCGCAGCAAGAAACCGTGGATATTTTCAGCTTATGCAAGGTCTCCCGCAAAGTGCCTCGGACGGCCACCTTCATACGCAAGCAGAAGAAATTAAGACAACTCCTCTGTTTTCCAATGACGTCCAGAAGGCTCTGAGGGGCGGCATTATGGGAGTTGTTGCTCCTAACCACACTCCTTTCCCACAATACGGGCTCCTAGGCATGCGCGAAGAGACATACAACTCCTCCTTGCCGGAGGCGAGCAAGACTGTGTCACCTGAGGATAATCTCATCTTCGCAAACATGAATGCTCCATGGTCTGCCTTCATATGCGGTTCCCAAGGTGCTGGGAAGAGTCACTCGCTCTCTTGCCTCCTGGAGAACTCACTGTTGGCTTCATCCACGGCGGGAGAGAATCCGAGGCCTCTGGCTGGCCTTGTCTTTCATTACGACAAGTTCACAAGCAGTGAGAGCACACAGTTGTGTGAGGCTGCCTATCTGTGCTCATCGGGAATTCCTGTACGAGTTCTTGTCTCCCCGAGCAACGTCCATGCAATGCACAAGCTCTACAAAAACCTCCCTGGACTGCCTAGAGACGCTCCCCGTCCAGATGTCATCCCACTCTACTTTCAAGAGAACCAACTCAATGTGACGCGCTTGATGACGTTGATGGCAGTTGATGACAAGGACAAGGTGCCACTGTACATGGAAGTCCTTTTCAAAGTGCTCCGTGATATGACAACGGAGAAAAAGGGCGCAGGAAGCTTTGATTACCTTGATTTCAAAGCACGATTGTCAGGAAAGGGGTTCAATTCCACACAAAACGGACCGCTCAGACTGCGTCTCGAAGTGCTCGAATCTTTTCTTGCACACAAGGTCCAGACTGCGGAATCCGCTGCCCGATTGAGAGATATGTTCATGTCTGCTCCAGGGACACTCACTGTTGTTGATTTGAGTTGCCCTTTTGTCAACGAGAACGACGCATGTGCCCTATTCACGATCTGCCTTTCGATTTTCATGGAGAATCGGGCAGATTGTGGTCGTGTCATTGCTCTCGATGAAGCTCACAAGGTAGGTAATTACCCCTTTTTTGCATGTCTACTAACCATGTTTGCCCTTTGCAGTTCCTTACGAGGTCGGGTGAAGCTGAAAAGCTCACAGATGAGCTGACATCCATTGTTCGTCAACAGCGCCACCTTGCCTCACGCATCATTGTATCGACGCAGGAACCGACTCTTGCGCCCCGGCTTGTTGATCTCTGCAATGTCTGTATTGTTCATCGGTTCAGTTCTCCTGCGTGGTTTGAAATGCTCCGGGACCACCTTGCTGGCGCCAGCCGCCACAAGGGTTACAACAATGCACATTTGTTTGAGACGATAGTTGGGCTGCAGACTGGGGAAGCGCTGATATTCTGTCCTGCGGCTGTGTTTGATGTGTACAATGGCAATGTGCACACATTGAAAGACGCTTTCATCAGAGCCCGCATCAGAAATCGCGTGACTGCGGATGGTGGAAGGAGCATCTTAGCTTCCGACGAGATGCAATATAGTTGCATTGGGGAAATGCTGACGCATGAGCTCATCCGACCGTTTGCGGCACAGATGGCGGGTTCAGGCCCACAGTCTGCCAAGCAGCCGGGCAAGCAGTTGAGCAAAGCAGAACGGCGCGCGGTCAAGGCGGGACGCGTGATGAAGAGCCAACCTGTCCCGTCTCAGTCTCAAAACTTGAGGAGAGGTCTGACACATGGGCAAGGACGTTATGAGCTTCGTTCAGCGCACGTACCGACTCAAGAGCCACGACTGGGAATTGTCCAGAGTTCATCGGAAAGTTCAGCACAGAGTCCAGTGTCCAGTGCCATCCTCGCTGGGGACGTAGGTGATGTCTTCGCTGATGCTCCTGAGTTTATTCCCTTGGATCCAGGAATTGACCCCAGCTCAATACCTAGTCGGGATATCCTCAGGGTTCATGTCAGTAATGCCGTGTCAGAATCACTCGGCAGAAATCCCAGCACGATTGGATTCGCCGAGGTACGTCGAGCAGCAGCACAGAGTGCAGGCTTGCGTAAAGGATTCTTTGGACAGCCGGAATGGAAAACTTGGTCCAAAAGAGTGATTAATGAGATGTTGGTGAGTTGGGCCTCGTCTCGCTTGAAGATGAGATCCGGTCACTGACTTGGGCTGTTTAGGTGGAATATACCGAGGTTCGTGGGATGCCGCAACCAAAACGCCACTAGACTCTCTTGTCGAGAAACTCGAACTTCGATTTCCGGATTTTCATGACGCTTGAAGCTCAGTGTGGGTGAAGCAGGAGACGCTTTCGGAGAGGAAGTTGTGGATACATGGGCAGGGAAATGTCTATTTGCGCAAAACAGTCGGGGAGTCGGGGTCTCGCGCAGGAATGGAGCAGGATCCTGAAGAAACAAGAGTCCACCTTGGAATCTATTCTACCACGTTCGGAGAGAATCTTTACGAGGGAAGTCTCGCTATGGTGGCCTGATACATGAAGTACAGTACATGAATTGACAGCGCATGTACGTGGTTCACTCATGGATCTCAGACAAAGTCAGGGAGGAGATTGAAGCGCTTGAAATTCAGCAGATGGAGGGTGGTGACTGTAAGGAGTGCATGGTGGGGGCTTGGGAGGGTGAAGCGGCGAGGCTTGTTTGATTCAGGAGACGGAGATGAGCAAGGCCGAAGACAGCATCACCAGGCACCATTCAATTTGTATGTGACGTGTCTTGTTCCACCTTGATTGCGTTTGTGAGACCCTCGAATCTTGTAGCGGAATGATATCAGAAAAGCCGTGGATCTAGGTGTCCATGATGCCATGCGTTTGGCAGTAAACAGGAGGCGGGGGAGATTGAAGGGAGAGCGACACCACACTAATAATATAAGGAGGGGCTGGATTTAGGGGCATGTACCGAGTACCTCGTATGCCGAGCCGTTTTGGCAGTCTGGGTAAATTAGGTTGACGTTGACGGTCACCCAACGGTTTGAAAGAGGGTCACTTAGTAACTGCAAAAACTTATACCTCGTAAGTTTGAAACAAATGCGAGTGAGAACATCAGAGATTCGGTTTGAGGGGGCCGGGGGCAAGGGTATAGTCTGACGGTCCCTACAAGAGTGACAAGTCCTCCACGCACAATCACATTTATGAGCCAAGGCTATCACGTGTGCCAATCCCTCCTACAACTGCACATGGGATAGGCTCGAGGGCGATGCCGCCTTCTTTTTGAAGTTACAACCTATAGTCTCTCACCACCGAAACTTGTATTGTCACATACAGCGCCATGAGCTTCCGCATGAGCTTATGAAAGAAAGAAAAAAAAAAAAAACAACAAGAAAAACAAAAGTCGCTGTGCTGCAGCGTCCTCAGGGACTTTGGACTTGGGTCCCCTCGGCCTCTCGGCCTCTAAACCGCGTCTTGTCGTGATATCACTTCCCCACATCCTGAGACTTGCCAACAGATGAATAACCCACTTAGGGTTAGGAGCAGATAGTCTTTGCTACGTCGACTTCTTGCCTCTATACAGAAGAAGAGTCCTCAACCCGTAGGTCTCATCGAAAGAGTTAGACAGCCTTAAAATGTCTAAGAACTAATGAAGGGGGTCACAAAAGGGCACAGTCGTCACCGCCGACACGGCAGAGCAACAAGACCATTATGACCACAATCCGCTCCTCGATCTTCCTGACGAGCTAGTCCTCACGGTTGCGAGCTTTCTGGACCAGGAGTCTCAGCTCCTGCTGAGCCTCTCGTGTGGACGACTTCGTTTTCTTCTCAACTCCCACCTCGACATGGCGCTTCGTGACGATAGGGCCACCAAGGTGCGGTTTCTAAAACTTCTGGAACTCGACCACCCGGAATATCTGACATGCCGCTCCTGCGGCCTTCTGTATCTCTGGCGGAAGATGGAATTCTTCCAGTACGATTGTCCGCGTGCCAACCACCACCTGCTTGCGGATACACTAGTATCATGCGATCAGTTCATCCAAGCAGGAGACAACAAAGATGTCCGGGTGACGCGTGGAGTGGTCGACCTAATCTTGCGAGCCTACGAGCATGGGCCCTCTCACGGCTTGCCTGTATCTTTCTTGAACATGAGCGGTCATGATCACGACGGCGTTTCTCGAACGAATGAGGCACGGTTAGTGAACGGTCAACTTATACTGGCCAGTCGAATGGAGGTGGAGGCAGAGTCGGGACTTGAAGTGGAGGTGATGCGGCGCCTCTCCCTCCCGAATATGTGCCTACATCTATGTACCACTATAGGGGTCATCGACAAGGTATGGCAGACCCTCGAGCAAGCCGTCGCAAGCATGATAGTAGGCTCGGAGAAATCCGAAGTATTCAAGTGTCCCTTCTGCGAAACTGACCACCAGGTGCACGTGAAGAAGACCGCGGGGAATCGGGCAAGGATCGTTCTGAATGTTTGGAGAAACTACGGACGACGATACGGGAACAGGCTGTCGACCGAGTAGATCTTTCATCGAGACCCAGCGTTGCGGCTTGATGCCGACACAGTCTCGCAGAGGGATGTGCGAGCGGCCTTTGAGTCTAAAACGGGGTGTATTCCAAGCATCGAGACATAGTCATGCCTAGAAGTTGTACAGTTTATCTGCACCATCGATCAAATTGTGCCTTGTGCCAGCCCGAGGTAATTTGTAGCCATTCTCGAGTTGCGGGGCATATATCATATATGCCCCGAACTGCGCTTTATCCTTGACCATGTTCGTTCAGGAAAGGGAGCAAGGCCGCTTTACTCGGGCACGTGACGGAGCATCGAAGGACGCCTGGCCGAGCATGGGAGCCGTCACGGGAGCCACAGCAGCGCCCGGGGGAGAGCGGCCGAGGACTGGACGAGCTGGAGGGAGCGCTGCCTAATGCCCCTTCCTCAGAAGCCAGTTCGGGCTCGCCTCCACTATAAGCCTATACCACTGTACTCAGCGGCGAATCTTGACCTCTCCCAAGGCCATTTCCGTTTCCAGATCTGAGCATCTCGCCGTTGAACCGGAGTCATGACTAAGCCACTCTGAGCTGTGGCTGTGCAGTCCTGAGCCAGACTTGGTGAGCCCTGAGGCGCCTCCTGAGTAGTGTGGGACTACCCTGAGTCTGCAAAGGTTCCCATAGGTGTTGAGGTTCCCTCGATAGTCTATCTAAACTCGTCTCTTATTTCGACATCTCATATCTACAGTGGTAGCTCTTCCGTAGTAGAGAGGTTCGAGAGAAAGCCTATGCTGAGTATCGGACATGAGATTTAGCTAATTCCTCGTGATCCTTTTCTTTGCACATGCCGTATATTGTACCATCTACTATGTCATCGACGTTGCGATTCTCGCGATTCGTACGGGGATATTCTTCTACCTCCTGAGCTTCGCTGCGTGTGACGACGTGTGACGGCGTTTACTAAGGACGAGCGGGTCGGGAGGTGCCAGGAGATTCAAAGCTGAATGTTTCGAGGTGTAAAGAACGAGTTGGGAGACCACCTAAATCTCAAAGCCATCATTGCTGGTGACCAGTATAGCCCGTAAATAGGTGGCGCTTCCGTCTACCCTTTACAGGAAGCTGTGGAATGGGTAGAGGAGTGTAGATGGCTCCAATAATAATAATAGCCTCGCCATATTATCCCGGGACCGCGGGTCAACAACCCCCCGCGAAGACTGTGGCCACTCCGCAAGCCCCAGAAATCCCCGCCTTTCGGTCTATAAATCTTCCGCGCAAATCGATCTGTCTAACGAACGGTAAACGTGGCTATTCTCACGGCAGCCGGCCCCCGGTGCTCTCCACAGGATTTATTTATCTGCAGGTGCTCAGATCATGTTTCCACTGTACTACTCATATATCTCCCAGCTTTGGAGACTTTCTTGCTTATTCGTCTTGAGTCTTGACCCCAAATAAACAGCATGGGCGTCGACAAATATACCCTCGGGGTGGCCCTTTTCGCCAGTTTGGGCACCTTTCTGTATGTAAGTAAAAAATCGAAGAGACATGCTATGTCCGGAGGTTATTGACAGGAGGATCATCGATAGGGATATGATACCGGCATTGTCACCACAAGTCAGGACAAGTGATCTTAAACAGAATTGCACAATGACTAACAGACCTTATAGCTATTGCGCACAAAAGCTGGGTTGAATACATGCACAATCCCAATCCCGCCCTCGTCGGTGCTGTATGTCTGTCCAGCTGTGATTCAGGAGAAGATGATTGACAGGATGTAGGTCGGTGCAATCTATATTGGAGGTGAGGCCGTGGGTGCGCTCATTCAGATTGCCCTCGCGGACAGACTCGGTCGGCTTCGTTTCATGGAGCTCCTTTGTGTGATTGTCACAATTGGGTGCACTCTGCAGACGGCTGCAGTTAATCTCGGCATGCTGCTGGCCGGAAGAATTCTCACGGGAATTGCTGTTGGGTACATAACGACCGCCGATTCTTCAATCTGAATCAGTTTCTGACCTTGACTCATCATAATAGGTCCTTGTCCGCAACGGTTCCTGTCTAACTGTCTGAAATCAGCGACCCGCGACACCGAGGATTCATCGGCGGCCTCTCAGGCGTTAATTTGTCGTGTGGTATCATGGTGGCCAACTGGGTCGGCTTTGCCTGCAACTATGCTCCCTTCGGTCAGGTCCAATGGCGTCTTCCACTGGCACTGCAGCTTCCATGGGGCATCATCATGTTTATTGGTTTGGTTACCTTCATGCCAAACTCGCCACGTCATCTTCTACAAAAGGGTCAAGTCGAAGAAGCACGCAAAGCCTTCATCAGATTCCGCCACGACCTACAGTCACAGGAGGTGCAACAAGAGTTTGCCCTAATGAAAACCCAGATCGCCTTTGAGCAGGAGCAACGCAGCCCGTCCTTGATGTCCGCCTTCAAGCGGTACCGACATCGCGTTCTCGTGTAGGTGATTTTTCGAGCGAGTAGGGGGTTCCCGGAACTAAGTGCAACCAGATCTATTTCAGTACAGATCCTGACCGCCATTACTGGCGTCAATGTGATCCAGGTAAGTTACCTCTTCCCATACAGACCGAAGAAACCTTCTGAGCATTCCCATCTAGTATTACCAAAGTGAGTGACTTGAGACCCGCCATCGTAGCACACTATTCACAAAGCATGTAGCGACGCTTTATAAGTCTCTTGGTATCGAGAGCAAGACTGTCCTGGCGCTGACAGCTGTCTGGGGAACATGCGCATTTCTGTTCAGCGCCATTTCTATCCCCTTCCTTCCCGATCGTCTGGGCAGGCGGAAGATGCTGCTGATTGGTGTCGTCTGGGTCGTCGTGACCGAGATATATGCCGCTGTCATGCAACGCGAATTCCAACACACTAACAATCGTGTCGGCAAGGGGTTTGCGATCCTTGGCATCTACATTTTTACCGTTGGTTATTGTGAGCTCACCTTCCGCCCGAACGGCGAGTCCAGACGCAGCTAAATGTTTCAACAGACAGCTTGATCAACCCTGTAACCTGGCTCTATGGTGCTGAAGTTCTCCCGGTGGCCCTCCGAAACAAATTCATGGGTCTTGCCGCTTTTGCGCATTATGCTGTCAATGTTGGCAGTAGGTGACTCCTGGCCGCTATCCGATGTTTGTGGCTCTAACGCGTTGTTTGACAAGTCACCGAAGCTGGTCCGAGTGCCTTCAAGAACATCGGGGAGAACTACTACTACGTTTTCGTGGGCTGCTGTACTGTCTACCTTTTCATCATCTACTTTTTCTATCCGTATGTGTCCTGAGAATCAACAGCAGAGAAACTCGATTTGCTGATTTGTGCCTAGGGAAACCAAGCAGCAATCTCTCGAAGAGATTGCGGCAGCATTTGGAGATGAGGTCGTTGAAGTGGCTGTCCATGAGAATGTTCTGACCAAAGATTTGGCGTTCGATAACAAAGCTGAGATCACGCACGCCGAGGATACAATTTGACGATGGTTCCTCGCCTTGCGCAAGTAGTGGCACCTTGTGGAAGGATCACGGTGTGTGAGGTGGAAAGTGTAGTCTACGTGGACTCGTAGTCATTGCATCGGGCTCTGCCTAGATCAAAATAATCAATCGCTTTCGAACAGGTCACCCATGGAAGAGTTCTGAGTAACGACATGCTCAGGGCTTCTGTGAGCTCCGCCCATTTAGGTGGATCACGGGTGAATTGCCACGGAAAGGAGTCCTCCGTAATGATGTGCCGAAGACGGGAAGACTAGTTGGACCGCATTACTCGGGGTGTTCGGGGTCAGGACACCAGGCACAAAATCGGATACCTACTCGAAGGCTACTTTTCATATAATCGCCGGCCAAAAGTCTCATCGACAAAATTCTCAGACCACATCCCAAGTCAATTCCAGCGACACGGTGCTTTAATTCGTTCCTTGAACATTCGCATCAACGTTCATCAACGATGACAGCCAACGGTGCTACCGTTACCAACGGCCACCCTTCCAAGCGGAAGGGCAACCGAGCAAAAGAGATTGTAGATGCAGCTTATGCTGGCAAGTACGCGATCGCGGCCGTGTGTTGCTACAACCTGGAAGCGGTGCTGGCTACTGTCCGGGCTGCCGAGACCAAGCGGTCGCCAGCCTTAATCCAACTCTTTCCTTGGTCCATCGAATTTGCCGACGGCCTGCTTTTACACGCTGCCGCAGAGGCCGCCGACAAGGCTTCAGTACCGATCGGAGTGCACATGGACCATGCACAGTCGCCAGACATCATCCGCCGCTCGGCCGATCTGGGTGGGTACGACGGAATCATGGTCGACATGAGCCACTACGACAAGGAAGAAAACTTGAAATTGAGCAAGGAGCTGGTTGCATACTGCAATGCTCGTGGTATCATCACGGAGTGCGAACCTGGTCGTATCAATGGCGCCGAAGACGGCATTCAGGATACGGAGGGCATGGAGGAGATCTTGACGACACCGGAACAGGCAGAAGAATTCGTTGCCTTGGGTATCGATTGGCTAGCCCCGGCATTTGGCAACATCCATGGACCATACGGTCCCAAGGGTCCTCAGCTTGACTTTCCCCGGCTTGAGCGCATCCACAAACAGGTCGGGGACCGGGTCCGGCTGGTATTACACGGTGCACACGAAGATTATTTCAAAGAGGAGCTGCTGAAGAAGTGTATCAGTTATGGCATGTGCAAGGTCAACGTGAACGGTCCAGTGGCTGCGGCGTGGACCAAGGTACAGGGCGAGCTGACGGGAAAGGTGCCTTTGACGACGGTCATCGAGGAACAGGTCAAAGCTATGCAGGCGGTGGTGGAATACCACATGGACTGGTTGATGTCTACAAACAAGGCATAGACATCATATTCGGTAATGTGAGAAGACCCAGAGCTTAAGATCGTTCGACAGGATTAGACTATCTCAATTTCGAGCACCAATAGACTTCTGTTATGATGCTGACGCCTCATTTTCCAATGTTTCGATGTAGTCTCTGCACGACTGTAGAAACGATGTGTCCTGCTTCATGCCGAGCGAGAGTCCCAGGCTATTATCAAAATCATCGGCCCAGGAATACAGGAGACTCTGAGCCTCAGGAACAGGCTCTTCCTTGACCAAAGCTAGCTTTTCCTTTCCCCCTACCTGCTCCAGAGCATCCATCATGTCCTGCATAGTGACCGCAAAGCCCGGGACGTTGACGGCTCTTCTATGGGGTGCCAATGCATCCCTGGGCAGCTTTGTCGCGACCATCACATTGTACACCAGCGTTTTGGGCGAAGACATCCAATGACGCCACGATCTGTCCTTGAGAGGCACTCTGCACTCCAAGCCATTCAGTGGCTCACGAATAATGCCGGACAGGAAAGCAGAGACCGCTGGACTTGGGTTGCCCGGACGGATTGAGATAGTTGGAAATCGGAGAGAGAAGCCGTTGATCATGCCTCGACGGGTAAAGTCGTTGATGAAAGTCTCGCATATCAACTTTTGACAGCCATATGTCATCTCTGGCGTGCAGTTGGTGGCCTCGGAGACACCTTTCTTGGGCAGCGGTGTACCGTACACTGCTTCGCTGGAGGCATAGATGACTCGGACTCCCGGAACCTTTTTGGCAAGATTTAACAGCAACGCGCGAGTCGCATCGACATTGACACGATATCCGAGTTCAAAGTCCGCCTCTGCTGCAGAGGACATGACACCATGTAGAAGAATGGCTGTATCGAGGCCTGGAGAGATGAAGCTGGCTCCAGATTCGATCAGGTCAGCCTGGATTGCCATTGCATTGTGAGGATACTTGCAACCCACGGGGATGGGCGGTTGAATGACGTCGACGAGAGTGAGCTTAACCGAATCATCGTCTAAAAGTGCCTTGGATACTATCTGTCCAATGAAGCCAGCGGCTCCAGTAACCAATATCTGTCGCATGTTGAGAATGCCCGATTGTTGGAGTATCCGGAGCAACCAAGTATGTTCGAGGCAGATGTCAACTCCTTGCTGTTGGTAACCATCCGCGTGATATACCAGCCTTGTTTATAGTATTTTTCGCTGATAATTTAGAGTGTGTCAGCCCTTGTCTCTCTCCCCATGGATCACTTTTCCCAGTTTTGGTACGCATGCCCCGGTTCATTCAAAGTTCTGAGGAAACGATGACCGGGAGAATCTTGATCCGCGGGAACTTGATTTCGCAACGATGATACGCCGTTGGAGAAACGCATTGGGCAATGGCCGGAAAAGATGAGGCGGTGTTGTGCCGCCTATTCAAGGCATTTTAAATGTCCGGCACGAAGATTCTCCGGAGCGTAGAAAGCCCCCCTCTGAAACGCCTGGCAACTTTTGCCACAAACTGGAGGTCGTCAGATCCCCCCGACCGTGTGATCGATGGCAGTCAGGCAGTATATTAGAGTTGGAAATTCAATGATAGAGTGCAAGAGAACGACAAACCCAACTTACTCATAACCCTGTTGCTAAGATGGCCACCACCACCCAGACCGTGACCGCTACTCCTGCATCTACCCGAGTCTTCAGTTCTTTCAAGTGAGCTTTACTTTCTCTTCCAGCCTGAAGCCTGAAGGACCGTGGCCGCTAAAATTCCCTCTAGATTGGTTGACTCAGAGTCCAACATCGACTGGCTCAACGATCTCGAGACTCAAGGTTACGCCGTCATCAAGGGCGCGGTTCCCGCAGATCGCGCGGCGTACTACCAGAAAAAGGCCATCGAGTGGCTTCAGACCTTTGACCCTCAGTTGGACCCGGAAGATCCTTCGACATGGAAACAGGAGAAGCTCCCTCTGCAGACGAATCGAAACACCTACGAACACTATTCGGTCGTACATGAAAAGTTTATGTGGGAGGCTCGCCAGGAGCCTGGTGTCCTTGACGCCTTTCAAAAGATCTGGGGCACCGACGAGTTGCTCGTCTCCTTCGACTCACTCAACGTCACCCTCCCTAACCTCAAGAAAGCCCGTGCCCCCTGGCCACACGTCGACCAGGCTCCCCGCAAACGAGGCTTACACTGCATTCAAGGCATCATTAATCTGAGCCATGCCGGTCCCGAAGATGGCTCCCTCGTGGTTGTCTCCGGCTCGTCGAAACTGACCGAAGAGTTTTTCGAGACGCAGACAGACCCTGCCACTTGGGAGTGGAGGGACAATCGTTATTTCGATGACAAGGACATGGAGTGGTTCTTCGCTCGAGGATGCAAGATTACCAAGGTTCTGGCCGAACCTGGCGATTTGATCCTCTGGGATTCGCGCACCATTCACTGGGGCGGGGAGCCCACGGAGAAGAGCAACACAGTCCGTACTGTCATCTATGCGGCCTACGCGCCAGCCAAGCTGGCATCCAAGGAGGCTCTCGCAGAAAAGGCAAAGATTTTTGATGCGTGGGGTGCCACCACCCACTGGCCTCACGACAACATCAAGCTCCGCGAGCTGCAGGCATCATACCCTGATGGCACCCCAGATCCTCGACACCGCTCAGAGCCGCTCGAGAAACCGCAGGTCACCGATAAACTGCTTAAGATGGCTGGTTGCAAGCCGTACTGATTGATACCTGAAATATGTATGTGGCAGAAATTGTAGATCACTCTTTTCCAGTTCGATTTTAGGTCATCTGTAGCTTCTATACCTTATTCGTAGTTGTCAGAAAGTGGTCCAGACCCTTAGTCTCGCCTGGTATAGGCGACGTGGTAAGCAACGCGGTGGGCGACCTGTGAGCCCCTTCAAGTCTCATAAGCAAGACTTCCAGGCAACTTCGCCTACAGGCTAGATAGCCAAGGCCAGCACCCAGAACAGCACCACATTACTACAACTTACTACCAAGGTATTGTAGACACCAGCCCACAATTGCCTGTAGCCACAATCCCATGGGCCAGGAAATTGCCCCGCATCTGCATTGCCAAGGCCCGGGGCAGCTCACTGCCAGGGCAGCAGGCAATCTAGCTTTAAGTAGCGGAAGAGACTGCGGTCCAACAGTGTTTTGCCCCAGAACTAGTGTTCGTTGGGTATCTACATATAATCTTCAAGCTATCGTCGTCATAGCCGCCAACGAAACACCTGATACTCAACCTCGCCCAGGAGGATCCGTTACTGCACGCCACGCTTTCAATATCTACTATGTCCTCCACCGAGACTCGCAATCTAGATGGCGAGGACAACATACCCCCCAGCAAACGTCCGCGGATTTTGTCGAAAGCGTGAGTGCTGGGTCCGGCAATCTTCGTAGGTGCGCAATCTAACGGCGTGTCCGGGAGCAGATGTGAAACGTGCAAGCAGAAAAAGACAAGGTGCGACAGCGCCCGCCCACTATGTGGCACCTGTCGCCGCATGGGTAAGATCGAGCCTCTATTGTCTGGGACATGCCAATTGACCCAGTCTGTTAGGGAGTGAATGCGTATATCCAGAGAAAGGCCAACCGGGGCTGCGGCCTGGGTACGGTAAAGCAATCGAGCAACGTTTGACCTTCCTTGAGAGCACGATGGACAAAATGAACCAGTCGATCCAAAACATCCTCACACATGTCCGCCCCGGTTTCGCACTTTCCAGCCAGAACACGGTCTCACAGAGTCCGAATCCTCAGCCCGAAGCGAATCCATCCATCACATGGACTGGTCCTGAGACCGGATCTCAAATGTGGCAGCAACCTCAACAGCTACCTGAAATAACCTCTTTCGATCTCAGTCCGACAGTGGACCGAGTATCCTTTCCATTAGGTGCGCCGCCATTAAATAATGGCAGATCCGGCCTGCCCACTACAGACATCTTGGAGGACCTCGTTGAGCTTTTCTTTGAACTTGTCCATCCGTGGATGCCCATGTTCTACAAACCAAGCTTCACGGGCAGCATGTTCGCACCAGAGCGTCAGGTGATCCTACATGCAGTTGTGGCGGTGACTTTTCGCTTTTGGAGGAAACCTCTACCTTCCTCCAAAGAGCGAGATGACTTCGTCGATATCTCCCGCGAACAGGTCTTGCTGAAGACCATCGACGCGTGCACGCTGGTGTCGACCCAAGCCCTTGCACTTTTGGCACTGGATTCCCTGGGCCAAGGCCCTGGCCCGAGAACATGGAATGTCATGTCGATGCTCGTGGCTGCCGCACGACATCTTGGTCTCGCGAAGAGTCCTTCACCCACGACGCCTGAGACGAACACACCACTTGTCAGAAATGAGGATGACGACGACGGAGCGGGCGTGTCCAACGTTGCCTTAGAGGAGAAGCGACGGCTATTCTGGATTATCTACAGTCTTGATCGCTTCTCCAGCGCATCGCACGGGCAACCGGGAGGTATTGACGCCAAAAATATCCGACTACCATATCCAGGAAATGACCAAGACTGGGCACAGTCTGCAACCACCGAATGGTTTCAAGCGGACACACAACCCAACTTCTCCCACACGCGTTGCTCTGCCAGCCTATGGCATCACACTATAGACCTGCTGGCTTTGATGGATCGTACAAATCAACTTCTCGTTAAGCCATTGGATCTGAACCTCCCTGCTCACTGCCAAGAGTGGCAGAGCATTTTCCGGCGCCTGGACCTCACCATATCTACGTGGTTTGCAAACCTCCCGCGTGAGGTTCGGGAGCGACCACCAACTTTTGATCCTATGTGGATCATGCTTCATGCAACCTTTCAACTGTATGACTTCCTCTCCGTGAAATCGATTCCCGAGTGTGTCGCTAATTTTCGAACTTGACAGCATAAACATCAGAATGCACACAGTAGCCGCATTCCCATCAGCAACCTCAACTTATCTACGTCCGTCGCCCTCGGCGCGCGGTCGCTGTCGCCAGTGCATTGGTAGAGTTGTGTCATTAGCAAAATCTCTCCAGCCTCAGGAGCTCGACCAGCTTAACCCCATGTTCGCTTTTGTAGTGTGGGTTGCAGCAAGAAGTCTCATCATTTTGTGGACTACCGGTTACGAAACGACCTACGAAACTATCCCAACCGACCTAGATCCTCTTGTCAACGTTCTGCGGCAGATGGGCTTTCGATGGCCTTGTGCACAAAGATATGCCGATATCATACAGCTCATCCTGGACACCAAGAACGACCCCAATGGCTCTGCTGGTATTGGCATTTTCAATGACACGAGACGGACCTCGTACGGTCTCCAGACCCTCCTGGGATCTCTAATAGCTCCTCCAACCCAAGAAGCTTTTCCAAACTCCTTTGATTTCCTCGATATGAGTTTCCCAGACTTTAGCGATGTCGGGACGTCAAGAATGGGGTTTTTGAGGCCGGAAAACGATGGTGATTGGCTGTAAGACAATTCATGTTGTAACCATACCTACACAACTCAGCAACATGTTGTCGAGTATTGTCCTCAAGCCACGCAAATCAAACTCCAGTCTCAAAGTCGAGTCCCACTATCTGGTAACCCGTTCACAAGCAGATGCATCTGCTCAGATACCGTGCTCTTCAGCCTACCAGTTTCGATTGCCGATCGTACATTGGCGATGGTCCACTCTTCCATCTTTGTCTTTGTCTGGCCAACGACTCAGCAAAGCTGCCCAGGCATTACCCAGTACCAGTAAGAGTGCTTACCTCGACGGTTGATGTGCCCATATGTGGGAGTAGACAGACATGGGGATTGGACAGCAACCCAGGGTGGATATCCGGCTCCTGCTGATATACGTCCAGTCCGACGGAGCGCACTCGCCCTGAATTCAAAGCATCTACCAAAGCGTCTTCATCCATAACCCCTCCTCGGGCAGTGTTGACAATAATGATGCCCTCTTTCGTCTTTGCAAACTCTTTGCCAGATATAATATTGCGCGTCTTTGGCTGACAGTAGAGGGCAAGTTAACTGGAAATGTTGTGCGGAAGAAGTTGTTCGACTTACGTTGAGTGGGAGATTCAAGCTTAGAACATCACTCTTTGCCAGTAAATCATCGAACGTGACATATTCAGCTCCGTGGGCCATGTCATCACTCAGCCTGTTTCGGTTGTGGTAAATGACCTTCATACCAAAGACCTCAGCCTTCTTCTTCAGATTCAGTCCAATACCACCAAGGCCCAGAATACCGAGAACCTTCCCCTGAGGATCGTGACCAAGGGGTGGTGGAGGAACAGCGCCTCTCCAGGTACCATTGCGGATGGCCATAATGCCATTGTTGAAACCGCGGAGTGCGGCTAGGATGAGAAACATGGCACAGTCAGCAGTGGCTTCGTCGACAACATTCGGACAATTGGACACCATGATGCCTCTCGCAGTACAGGCAGGTATATCAAGGCTGTCGTAGCCGGCGCCCATGTGAGCTATGTACTTCACACTGCCGGGAAGTTCGTCAAGCAGTTCCTTGTCCCATTTACCTGTCTGGACAATGCTGGGAGGTGCTCGATCACATATCGCTACGACACCATTATGCCTGCCACTTCTCAGCTCCTCGATGAACGCCCCTCGATGTGTAACTTGAGTAGTGGTGAGCTCTGCAACCTCCGAAAGAGCATTCCATGCGTCGTGAGCACTACAATATCGGTCAGACTTATAACTAGGTCGCACGCAGCACAAGGAGATTTTGTAGACTCCCCAGGTTGTAAAGTAGCTCTCTCGTTATTCGAGTAAGCAACCGACCCGTGGCTTTCGGTGGCTACTCACTGCTCAAGTTTACCCAGTAGTAGGGCCTTCGGTTTTGCCATGTTGATAATGTTAGTTTCTCGTCAGGATAGAATTAACGTCGATGTAGGTCTAGAGCACCGTCATACATAGTTCTTCATGTAAACTAATTTCGGGTACCACTATTAGCGAAAGCCGTACCGCTGACTTAGCCGATCATGGGCCGGGAATTCTGCGAGACTCCCGTCCGGCACATTATTGCGCCGGTGCTAATCAAGCCGCCCAACCCTATCAAATAAAGCAGGGTGCACAGTCAATGATGCATTCGGTAGCCCTGCTTCAGGATCGGGTCGAGAACCTCGAAAGGGCAAAAAGAACACGCATTCATCAAGGAGAATCACGTAAGGTTGAAGATGCGCGGGGTCTACTGGAGCAAAGAATAGTAGACGGACAGGTACAGCAGGAAATACGACAGAAGGGTGGTCCAGGGCGGGGGGCTCCGGGGAGAGAAAGACGGTGTGGTAGTTGCGGCAAACCAGGACATAATGCTCGCACTTGCCAGGAAGATGAAGAAATGTCGAATGTACATAGTTCCGAGTAGATCTAGATAATCTCTATTATTTTGGTGGTGTAATCGAGTTGGTTTGTGGTGGGCTGGTGGAAGAGAGCTATCGACTCGCTTGTCTTATTGTCAGGAATAACCCCTTATACCCTTGTGGAATGCACAAAAGGACGGAATCCAATCCAATATTAGGAGCGGTATTAGGGGTTAGTAATAGATTAAGAGTAGAATAACTGTATTATAGTGGGAGCCGGGCTGGAGAAAAGGTTTTCCTTTCATTGGTTCACTTCATGTATGGCAGGTATGGCGAGACATCCTATGAGACGGATGCTTCTCGATACCATGGTTTACAGACACAACATGCACTCGAGACGAGAGTTATGCGCACCACTTAGTCGGCGTAGACCAATGATTGATGTCTACCCGCGATTATGCTTCCTTCCTAAGTCGACTATCAATCCCTTACTTGACGCGTTGCGAGACGAGACGAGACGAGAGCCTATCGATATCCCGAGACAGGGGTTGTGTGTGTTGAGTGCTATATCCTAGGCCGTGGTAGAACGTGAGATTAACTATAAGAGAGCTAGCGGTAAGTACTCGAGGAGTCTTCGGCGGTTGCTTCTATCCTTCACGGAGATTAACGTTAAGTAGGGTCGTTTCGACGAAGCTATAGTTGCAGCTTCTGACAAAACCCATAAATACATGATGAGCCAGTCTTCGATTTGATCAGAAAATCTTTCAATGCCTGGATGCATAAAATGCCTACGTGAAAGTTTTGCTTTCGTGCGCATGCAGCAGGAATGAATGGCCTATGTCGAGTTGCCATCACGCGCCCGCTGCCAGCTGTCTGGGCTCTGGATGTTCGGAGAAGGCATCGATTCTCATCTCTCATGTCGATGCCCATCGCATAGAGTGCGAACGAGCAAGTCCAGGAGGCTTGCTATGCAACCAATCGAAGTGCTTCTCGCGACCCCCGAGATGCTGGTGTTGAGCACCATTTAAGAGTTGGTTGAAGGGGTTGGAATTGCAAGGGGCGGATCCGAGTGAAGAAATGACTCTGTCCACTGGCTAAGAATCGAGACTACTTGTGTAGTACGTCTTCATAGGACATGGTTTCCACATCTGCATCGGCAAAGAAGATGGAGCAGCCTACTCTTGTGGCTCGTTTCGGACCCTGTCTGTTTAACGGCGCGATGGGTCTGATCAATGGCCTCCTTAGACCAATGCAGCTCGTGCGACAGGCCACTCAGTCGTCTCTTCTTGAGGCTGATGAGACTCTACAGTAACTCAGCTTTCCCCGTGCAAATATTTCTGGAACGTTCTCACGAATTGCTCGCGGTGAGACTTCTCCACAAGTCATCCCGCTCGAGAGCCTCCATGTCGTCTTTACGCAGCATGATAGTCACCTCGATCACACTGCAGGACGGACCATCTCGAGTGCCTCTCCTTCGCGGTAGGATGATGGAGACACCATCCGCCTCTGCAGAAGCCAGTCTCACAAACTCCGGTTTTCCAAGCTCTGCACCGAAGTCAGCATCATACAAGCCCAGGTTAGCCCAACTTGTGATGGTGAGGTCACGGCCGGAAAATGGATCCCAGCCGATAAAGATGGCCCGATGGTCCTCGACTCTGCTAATCAGACTATATGTCTCTGCGATATGGCGGGAGTCGATTTTGGCGGGCGAGCTGGATGTAGCGATCGCATCGCAGGTTTTGGCAAGCTCTCGTGCTGTTTCCTCACTTGACCTGGCTGCTAAATCTCCCATCGACAGCTCCGCCAGGGAGTAGAGGATGACATTGCCGAAATAGGGGTTCTCCGGGGTGGAGAATTGCGGGCTGATGCGCTGTCGGCCGTTGACCGCCATTGCGAGTCGACTCGTTGCGCCGGGAGAAAGATTCGTGGAGCGACGCATCCGGATCTGGGTGATGACGGTCCAGAGTAAGGCACAGATGACCGTGTTCGTGGTCGGGTTGACTGCCGTGTACTTCTGGAGAAGGTCCTTTTGGTCCTCAATCCGAGTGCTCGGGATACTAAACACTCTGGATGTACAGGACGGGAACTCGGGTGGAAAGACTGGAGGCGCCATCGAATACTCCGGATGCGCAGCAAGTAGGTCCTCTAGAGATTTCGAGTCCGCGACTTCGAGGTCGGGAGAGAGTGCCTCGAACAACCGGTTGAATCTTTCTCCAGAGACGGACATCGAACGACCAGGCTCCGCAACATTCTGAAGCAGTAGTCGCACAATCTCGTCCAACCCACCGGCATCTGTAACGTTGTGATGGGTACATATAACCAGTCCAACCCCCCCGTTGTCGGCGAAACGAAAAAGGCTGGCGGCAAAAACTGGAGCTCCGGCGTTATGAAGGTCCTCGTCGATGAAGCCTCTCACCGGCCATATCGCTTCGGGAAATGCATCGGGGGGCATCCCCTGCAAGGCCAACGCTTGGTACGCCACCGGGATCGATCCTAGATCCTGGAGCACCGGCGGCCCGTCGCTCGTCTTCCAGTGAATTTCCAGCGTTGGCTTCTGGGTCGTCGCCGAGGTGACAGGGACGACCCGGCCGGACATCCACGGGATCTGTCTCCACGTGGAATGCAGAGCGGTTTCAAACTTCTGCGCACTGGCTTCGGGGCACGTTGCCGTTCGGAACGTCAAAAGAACCCTCAGATAGGTCCTTGGGACGATCCAATCCAAGGGAGTGAGACGTTCGACGTTGATTTCTCCGGCCATGGGTACGACCGTGCAAATGGTTTGTTTGGCTGGCTTTTCCGAAGAAAAATGTCTACCGAGCAATATGGCGGTAGTAGTTGAACGAGAGGGGGCGAAGGAATCTTTGGTGGAGTTGGGGGAGTATATAAGTGTTCAGAAGTGTTGACACGAGCATGGAAGACCTAGACGTTAATATAGGGAGGATGTGGGTGGACTCAATTTCACTGGCATACAATACATTACCGTGTAAATTGACGTACGAGGAGGTACGCAGGCCTGAAAACTATTATTCGACTAGTGAGGTATTCTAATTCTCCAGCCCTCCACCGAATACTCCAATCCCACGAATCGGAATGAACGAAAACGTTTTCATCCACTGGTTTGCTGTACGCGGCCCCTCGGTCACTGCACGGCTTCGGGTGCCTGGCACTGTGGAGAGAGATTCCAGCCAGCAGACAACTCAATGGTCGCCATCACCTCCTGCAACGAGGTGGATCGTCCTAGATAAAGCTCAATGGAATCAAGCGGTGGAGTCGCCGTGATGTGTCCTTTTATTGACGCTCGTCGCCTGATCATAAAATGTATCATCAATCTGCAAATTCTACAGGTGAACGGCCTAACATCACCATATGCAGGTACCTATGTTCTTACATTTGGCTGTACTTGATTCAAAGCTTCAAGCACGTCTATGCCATCCTTGTCATTCCACACAACACCAAATGCATAGTATTCCCTGACGTAGGAGATCAAGGAACGGAGGATCTTGTAGTATGCGTTGATGTATTCCACGTGCGACTTGTCCCTTGGCACAGTAAAAACACCATCAGATCGCCTTCATTTGTTTAACAAAGGGTTGAGAGGGGCCAAATACATACTTGCCCTTGTATTCATTCAGAATCTTGTTGCCGTAGTATTGGGTGCCGCCCAGGATGTTCTTGACGAAATCGATCGGCCTTCTCTCCAAAACCCAACTTAGCGCGATGATTCCTTCCGAGACGGCACTCAGATGAACGTATAACGGAGAGGGACGGTTGGCTTCTCGAATCTCCTCGACGGTCGAAGTGTGGCGGCGAAGGTCTGCTGTCAATTCGGGGGGCATTGATTCAGGTCTTTTCGCTCTCGAAGCAATGAGCAAATAGGCCTTTCCAGCCTCGAAGGCCTCTTTCACGGCTTTGGACTGTGGCATTTTAGAGACTTCGTTGCTACAGGACACGGTTGCTCAGCCTACCTGTTGTTCGACGGGACCACCGATTGACTCGCTCGATTTCAGAAATGCTTGAACGTCGTCCTCGATGATCTTCCCAAAAGCGATAACGGACTTGGGCAAATCGTCGGTGAGGGTTTCCGGCTTTGTCGAGGAACCGGTGCCAGGATCTCGGCTCGCGACAGCAATTGCGGTGTCGAGGATGGCCGCCGAGGCACCGTATCTGGTAGTCGCGATGTTTTCAAGTCGTAACGTGGCGGCTTCAAGTCTACTCACATCGCATCGTTAGCGAGACAAGATCTGAAGGGTAGATCTTGTGTGTACCTTTGGATGAGCGATGGTAGGTACTGAGCGTTGTCCGAAGCCATATAGACCTTAAAGAAGGGTATTTGAAACCGTACTCTGCCAGTGAGCGTCGTGATACAAGCCTATCCCCTCGTGTAACACGCTCTTTCTCGCAGCCTGGACACCAACTTCGCCGGTCACTTGACGATAGCAGGGGAGGGATCAGGAAGAAAATAGAAATTCCCCTCCCTGCAGCTGGTAGTGTATATCTAGGGGAAAAACCATATAACTTATGAGAACCCCGCTCTAGGCTCCTAAGAAGGATTCGCCAACTACCGCTCCCATTCACAGCCTCGCAGCTGCTCTCGGATCTCAATTCTGGCGACTGTAGTTGAGGTTTAACTAAGTGGATCCACCGAGTCGTTAACTTTCCCGATGCGGAATTAGTTCTTGTCGGATTCCACGGATTCCGTGGAGTGTCACTTTACCACATTAATCGGCTGCAACGTGGATTCAGCGGTTGCCTTTGGTTGGCATTTTCTATCCTCTGCCTCATGGGGCATCTTTCTCACCTTGGCAATTGAGCCACGACAGCGAACTCAGGAACCGAGTCAGTATGCTGGCCAGAAATTTGTAAAATTTGGGTCTGAGGTCCACGGGCCCGCGGAATATCATCAATATTTGCATGACATTCAAAAGACGACGTGGGTTTCCGCTCCCGATACCAAGATTTACAACACGCACACCTTGGTCGTCATTAGGTATGTACCTAGGTACCTCATGCCAAGTGAAAAAAAAGTGTAGATAAAGCACGTGACCAAAGTTGACGTCTGTCTACTTGGGACCAGGGTAGTACACTCTCATTCCCCGTCATGCATTACCCTCTTTCTTCTGAGAAGCTAATGACCACTAGGTCCCTATTCATGGATTGCAGAAGTTTATAACCCCACAATAATGAGTGATACCTTGAGTAGGGAGACAATTGATCAGAGGCGGCGTCGCCGGGTGTTGGTCCCCAAGGCGGTACGGGTTCCCATCTCACAAGAACAAGTCCCTGTGACTGACAGATAGCCTCTTCGCTTGTAGTGTGAAGGGTGCCGAATACGCAAGGTAGATCCAATCTTCATCGTACCCGATATGAAGACGGTTGCTAAAGGGGCCAGGTTCGATGCAACCGCATCACACCCTGTTCAAATTGCCAGATAGTAGGTATTGTGTGCCAGAACGCAAAGGAGAACAGATGCCCAGCGGCCCCAGCCCCAAGGAGGACAGCCAATCAGCAGAACTCCTACGATGGCACTATCTCGCCAGCAGAACCCGCACTCGCATCATCTTGGCAGCAACATAATGAGCTTTTCCTAGATAACAGTCGGCCTGTGGATAGGCCATCCTCCTGGGAAGAACAAAGTCCCTTTTGTCCAGAGAACACGCCAACGTTGTATGAAGGCGGCTCTTCCTTCGTCAACCAGTCTACTGAAGCGAGTGATATCGCTACAAGAACAGCCGACTCGGACGACCTGGGCGAAGGATCAGGGCTCGGACCGTCCTTGAACTCCCTGAAGAGCCTTCTGAATCCGTGTGTCAATTCGCCGTCTGCTGGAGACTTCCACTTTTTGCATGGTCTCGCTCCACCGGCAAGGCCATCCGTGCCGCTGATACCGGCTGATCTTGTGCTCGCCGTTTTACGAAGGATTAAAAGTATGTAACCACTCCTGTTATGGAGACGCGACTGATATCTGCAGCGCACAAACTACCCCACCTTCAAGCCACTCTATGCGACTCCTCGTTGGTTGAGCGGCTTTGTCAAAAGGTCTATTTCCCGGTTGAACCAGTCTCTCTTGGCCATGTGACGAGCATGCACGGACTCCTCTTCTATGTGCTCCAAGACTGTATAGTGATGCGGGACCCACTGGGCGAGATATACGATCTTCAAGGAAGCTCTACTCAATGCGCCCGGAATTTCAGCGCAGGGATCGAAACTTACGAGCTCTTGGCCATCCCGAGTTTTGAGAGTATCTTGGCCCTGACAATAGCGGTACGTTGCATTGTCTCTAGATCTTTTCGAAAGTCGACATCAGTGCCTACCTACTAATGGTTTGCCACTGTAGATCATGAAAGCGCAGGATGATGCAAAGCCATGGCTATGCTCGACGTTTCTCTCGGCGGCTGCGAGACACTGCCAAGTACTGGGCTACCACCGAGAGACGACATACCAAAACGATAACACTGGAAATACAGAAAACATGCGCCGACTCTTCTGGTCTATATACATGTTCGACAAGAACATGTCACTCTACTTCGGGAGAGCTTCCAATATCCAAGATTTCGAGATAGACACCGGATACCCAGCTATTTCCACCGATCCCGGCGCGCAGCTCTGGGACCAAGCTACCGTCATCAGTATCCAGCTCGCCAGACTCCAGGGCCAAATCTATGATAGGTTATATTCGCCATCGGCGCAAAAGGCATCTCATTCCGAGCGAGAACGCCGAATCGACGATCTAGCTTCTCAACTGGAGGAGTGGCATATCGAAACAAGAAAGGTACGTTTTCAGTACCATTTCCCACGCTGCGTAGGTCTAGAGGAGACTCGGATTGACTGACTTAGTTCTGCAGTTCAAAGCCTCGCTCCGAGGACAGAGCCAAGTGTATGATCTGACACTAGCAAACTGGGACATTACATACTACTCCAGTTTAACCACAGTCTTGCGCGCCCCGTCCTTGCCCTCTGCAGGAACAGTCATCAATCCCAGATGTTTGAAGGTAGCACGCCTCGGACTTCAGACCCATCTGCGTTATTCTCCCGAGTTCCAACGGTCAGATTTACTAACAGCGACAGACTATGCGAACTGGTGAGTCTGCCGCGGCTCCATTGGCTATGGGGGGGGGCCTTTCTCGAAATCATTCAGAGAGCTAAACCAATGCCTCGTTAGGATCCTCCTGTTTTCGACATTTGCGCCGTTCATTGCGGTTTTTCTCCACGCTGTCGTCGCGGCCAGCTTCGAGGATGTTCTCCTGCTCGATCAAGTTGTCGACTCGTTGAAGCCCACTCGAGCCGCTTCTCACCGCACGGAGCGCCTTTATCAAGTCTGCTCGACGTTCGCAAAACTGGCCCGAGACATTGTCGAGAGGACACAAGGGAGAAGAAGTGATATCGAAGGACGCGCACGACAGGAGTCTGTGTGGCCGGCAGACTCCCCGACGCAGGCTCCATCAGATCGACATCAAAGCCTGGACGACATCTTCGAGTACGGCATGATGGGAGACATTGGAGGCGCAATCAATTCTGGGAATCTGTCAAATATTTTGAATAGCTGTCTCGGTGGAGGACAGTCTTGGGCTGCTGATCTTTTCGAGACGGGCCCTTAGCAAAAGTAGCTTCACGATTTTGGGCTCACTAATTCTCGAAGTTCGCCTTTTCGCCTTCTTGCTGTTCAAAGTCAAGTATCTGCACGCTACAGCTACGAAGAGTTAAGTACAGCTCGCGGATGGATCAACGCACACGCGCGGTTGGTAATACTGCTGGTATCCTGCCAAGACAGCAAGCCTTGTTTTGGTGATTCCGAACCACTTGTTGGGAATTTTCAACGGGAAAACCCATCGGCGAACTCCTTGAAGATGACTATCAGCTAATAGTGAAGTTATGACTACCTGTCGCTTTGCACCATTCTCGCACAAAATGTGTTCCCGACTATCGGATTCGGCTTTGGCAATACAGGCTAGCTCGGCTCGACAAACGGCTGTCATCAATATTGAGTCGAAAGATATCTTTTGACCTGAAGTCATTCCGATTTCGGTGCCAGAGCACTTCAGGCAAGCTCATAAAGGGCAAAAAGAACCGCACTCTTCCTCATTCATATTCAAGTCTTCTGTCCAAGTTTTTTCAAACCTATCAAACCAATTGGACCCTGCCAGGCCTAAGTCTGCCAGAAACTGAATCCCACGAGGATCAATTCCAGAGGATCCCGATCCACCTGAATTGGCCGTCCAGCTGCTTTCCTGGCTGATGCCGCGATACGGTGTAGGAAGCAATTCGTGATTAAGGTTGGAGCGAATGGGTCTAGCATCATCGCCGATTCCCATGCAGTGGGCGAAGACGACTGGACCCAGGCACGCGATTGATTGATGAAAGATCCCGTGTCTGGATTTGGGGAGGCAGGAGGGCCTTCGCTCTCAATAGAGTCGGAAGTACGGCTGTACTGTGCACCCAGGCCCTGGGTATCAGCTGTGCCTAAAGATGGGCCTTGTAAAGAGGTAACTGTGCTTGGGCGTCGTAAATGGCGTTGGTGTTCCATAGTTTGAACATTAGATTTGCGGAGTACGTTGGCCTCACCAGATATATTGTCAGCAGCTTGTCATAGCGAACTGTCTGTCACCGTAATCCTGAAACCAAGCTCACTGTGTCTGGAAACGCGTGGTTGCAACTTCAAGTTTGTGGTAATCGTACCCAGTGACTTCAATGTGATATTGGCTGCTATGATCACCTGTAGTCACGGCCATCTTCCTCGTGACTCAAAAAAGTCGCTTTCGGGGTCACTCATTTCCACCTCACTTCTTGCGGCCAAACTGTCCAATTCCTCTTGTATCTGCTGCTGGCGTGTGATAGTCTCTTCATCTCCTCTTTCAGTTTAGCATACCGTTTCTGGCGGCTGCGTCGACTGGGACCTCTCGCCTGCTTCGCAAGAGGCCTTGCGCCATCAGTGGCCGTTTCGACGCAATGGTGCTCCTCTGTAAACGAGTTGACGTACGGGAAATTTGCTGCTGAAGACGTGTCTGGTCCCCGTGTCATGCCCTCTATGGGAGAGAGACGGGTTAGAGACGTATTAGCCAGCTCTCCGGGGGTTGATGGCCTGTCATTTGGGATGGCAGATTGACGGTTCACTTGTTCAGCTCGTGTGTTTTTGACTGCTGTGGATGTGTTTGTTGCGTCGCACGAGGATTGTCTGACAGGGGGCGGGGTTATCGGGCCAATGCCGTTTTCCGGAAATACAGTCTGTTGGATGACCGAGCCGTTGTGATTCTGAATCTCCTCGTTGGGTGGCTCGCTGAACGGGGTTTGATACAGCTCGCCTTCTTCATCTGCCTTATCTTCATCTTCTGATGCTTCCTCCAGGCTACCCCGGGAGGATCTCTGCAACAGCTTTTCAAAATTCCGGGGGAAGCAGATGCTCGAACGCCAGATTGAGTCGGGGCTATAATCGTTTTAGCCTTGAGATGTGCTATCGCTTCGGGCAGACTTACAACGTTTTCCATCACTGGTTTCCATAGTGCGTGATCGGCGGATCTATATGAATAGGCTTGTCCGGTCTCCTGACTGAAGACGAAGCAAGCCACGGCATAAGTTGTTGCAGGCGAAGTGCCGTCGCGACCTAGAATCCAACCGCGCACCCTGTCGCCCCGCTACGCCCAAAGTTACAAGGGAAATTTAGGCAGCAGCGTGAGGGCAGGGAATCTGCCAGGTTCCCCAACTCCCGTCTGAAAACAGATGCCTAGCCGAGAGGCAAGTATAGCCGATCGCAAGGGGCCAGATTAGGCCCCCAGTGTATTTGCGCAGGGTGTACTCAGCCGAGGCCCAAAGGGGACCCCTGAGCCCGAACTGGCGTCTGCGAATAGGCAATGGGTATTGGGCAGCGCTACCTGTGGCTCGCCCAATGCTCGGGCGCGCTCCCCCGTACTCTGCCGTGGCTCCCGCGACGCTCCGTCACGTGCCTGATTAAAGCGGCCTCGCTCCCTTTCCTGAACGAAAATGGTACGGGACAAAGCACAGTTCGGGGGTGATATAATATATATATAACTATATATATTCTTTATTTGGTTTGGTATCAAAAAACAACAAAAACACACACACGCTCATCTCCATTTTCCAGAACAATGCCATGATTAAAATATTATGATGCGTACAACATGATCATAGAGCGCACAAGATTTTATGACGACTTGGGGTGCAGCTTGCCCTTCTTCTTGAGCTTGGTGTACACAATGCCGTTGCCGTCAGCGTACTCGGTCGGCACCTCTGGCCAGTCATCGACGCCATCGAGAAAAGCCACGGCCATGCCGCCAGCCATGTGTGTTTGAACGTGGCAGTGGAAAAGGAATGCGCCAGGGTTGGTGACTTGGTAACGCAGGACCATCCACGTGCTGTTGACTTCGTTGGGGGTAGTAGTATACTAAAGCACACATGTTAGTTATTTCTCAGCAAAAGTCAAGGTCCAACGAAACTTACCCCATCGCGAAGAGGCGGGTTTTCAAAGTTGAACGTGCCAGCTGGCAGCACAGCGGCGGCCTCGGCCACAGTGTTCCAAGTCCAGTTTCCGACACCCTTGCCGATAACGTACGCCTTGTTTGAGTGTTTATGCATGGGGTGAGGCTGAGCAAGCGGTCCCTGCGTCCTGATCACCAAGTCGACCCATTGGCCACTCTGTGTCTTGATAATGAGATCGTTGGCTTCGACATCGGCCGGATCTTCAAACAGAAGGGGGGTCTGGTCTTCCAACTCGGGAGCAAACGAGTTGACACCGCTGAGAGTCCATTCATACGCGCCGGCTGGTTGCCCAATCTTCTTGATATTCATCAAGTAGGTCACGTCCGCTGACGGAGCTGGAGGCGAAGGTGGATAAGGCGCCGCCTTGTTGTCATTGAACGTCACTAGCGTGGTCAAATTGGCGCCGGCGAAGTTCATCGTGGCAAGAGCATTGGGGTCTTCAGTGGCGGGGCCAACTGAGCCCTTGTAGTTGAGGACAGCGAAACCACTGAGGACTTGGTTCAGACCGTTGTTGGCGACGCGGATCGAGTACTGCGCAGGGGGTTGGTTGAGCTCGATCAGAACCGAGTATCGGTCTCCGTTGTTGACCACGACTTGATCGACCAGAGTGGGAGTCACGTAGCCGCCGTCCACAGCGTACACCCACATCTTGTGTCCGTCAATGGTGAACTTGAGCAACTCGTATCCACCCGGGTTGATAAAGGTCAAGGCAGCAAAGCCTTTGGCAGCGTCCACATCAATTGAAGCCATGGGTCCGGTCGAGGGAGTGCAGGTCGAGTAGGCATCAGGAGGAAGAGTCTCAATGTTGAAGGTGAAGTTACCCTGAGTGGCAGGGAGATTGGGAGGCAAGCAACCTTTGTCGGTGAGTTGCGAAGGGCTGACCGAAGCCAGGAGAGCCGTCACCTTGGGATTGGTGTAGGCAGTCAACTCCTCACGCGTCAAGCAGTACTGCGACCCCTGCCCATTGATGATGATGGCGTCCGAGCAAGCAAAATCAATGTTGGCATTCCGTTCTTGCTCATGCAGTTCCTGAGAGGTATACTTGTTGTAGTCCGAGATAAAGATGGGCTGCAGCTCGTCGTCCGCAGCCGACATGAGCTTGATGAATTCCGGATCGCTGTTGATCAGAGAGAATGGCTTTTCATCGTCAGACTCTGGAGAAATGATGATGGCGCCGTACAGCCCATCCATCATCTGCGAGCGATAATGTGCGTGATAGAAGTATACTCCAGCCGCATCGGCAGTCCACTTGTACAGGTACGACGAGCCGGGCGCAATGGCGTATTGTGAAAGACCGGGGACACCATCTGACCAGGGAGTGCCTTGCTGCACAATGCCGTGAAAGTGGATTGTAGTAGGGTCGGGCAGTTCATTGTGAACCAGGAACTCGACCGTCTGGCCGACCGTCATCTTTAATGGGGGACCGGGGAAGGTGCCATTTGTGAGGATCATCTTCTTGGGCGTGCCCCCAATGGGTGAGTAGTCCTCCCATGTGAGGGTGACCTCGAAGTGGACAGTGTCGTCCCGTTCATGGAGTGACCGCGATCGCGAAGGGAGGGCGGTACTGAGCAAAGCGAATGACAGGAAGGAGAGCACGGCGATTAACCGTGGAAGTGCCATTGTGGCAACAAGAAAGAAAATATGAGAGGCGAGTAAAAGGAAAACGATTGAATAGACAACGAGAGGAAGGTCCCTGGCAGAGGGAACACGTTTTAGAAGGTAGTGAACAACAAGGATACAATCAGAAGCATTTGGACCAAAGGGCGAGGTTGGGAGGAGATATAATATACAGCGATGGGTCGATTCAATCCACTCTCCTAGCCAAGTCCATGGTCGGCCGCAGCTCTCCAGATGATCCTAGGGCTCGTGATAGCAAACGGGGGATTAACGACACCATGGATGGGCTGGAAGCAGTGACCAGCCCTCGATGGTGAAGGCATGTTATTCTCTACATCCCATTAGCGTCTTAGCAGTGGCATTGATTCTGGGGCTGACCAGGGTACACAGGATACCTGCAGAACATTGGCACACCACCTGGACCCGCCATCCCAATTTTTGGCATCGCGTGGTCTGCTAGCATGTCAGTTGAAACGAAAGCGCCAGATCTAGACAAGCCTTGAAGATCACCGCCTCTGCAGCCAGTTGAGGCTGACACATGTTGGGTTTTTTGGCCAGTGTCTGTCTGTGGCGACCTGGAGGGGTTAACACCGCGACTCGAGTCTGATATCTCGGCGTAATATGCGCCATGACTCGAGGGATTGAGACGAGTCATCTTGGATACCAAATCAGTCATCCTTTGACGGTAAGAGACAAGATGTCAATGGGTGACAGCTGATTTGACGTGCCGCAACAACAGTGAGCAGCGGCAGCAGCAAACAGTAGCAGCCAAGAGGACGGCTGAAGGTTGGCAGCTTTAGATGGGAGTGCGCAGGAGCGGAGAGTGGAGGCTAGTGAGGCTGAGGGTTTCCTCCCAAGCACCGCTAGGCCTCGAACGAACCAAAGTTTGCCATGGACGCCACGATAACTGGCCAGCCCATCCAAGCCCATCTCACGCAGGCCTCTGCCAAGAATCGCCCGCCACTCTTGGAACCCGGCCCTTTGATGTCCGCGGCGATGGCTGGGACGTGTGTCATTTTATCCAGAGATTCAGAGTTCAGTCCTCAATTTCTCACGAGGGCGGGTCGAGTCTTGGCTCTATGATGACCTGGGGCGGAGCGGTGTTTTGCCCTTCACGACAAGTTGCAGAGTTCAACGCGCATAGGCGGGCGTTTTGACACCTAGCTGACTGTGTTCCAGCTCTTGTCGCGGTCCTTGTATACGAGTCTCACACCCGAATCTTACTCTTGAGCGGCATATGGCTAGATCAAGTACGGCGTAGGAAGGTCTTGGGTCTCGGCAGCAGCGAGAAGCTCTGAATCAGTGGGGGGGGGACTCAAAGATGCGGTTGGGTTGAGGCGACCTTGGGTAAACAGGACCTGAACGGTCGAGCACTGACGGCGCGAGCCAGTGGTGCCGAGACTGTTTCGGTGGGCTTTTGGAATCAATTCTCGTTTCGGTTGTTGATCCTCTCATAGAAGGGAAAATATTATGACAACATACCCAAATGGTAGAAGGTAAAAAGGTGGAATGATGCGAGAGCAGAGGCCAAAAGGGGGAGCAGGAGGAACATGGCCCATGGTGGAATGAGGGTGGATTGGGTGGGTGCCCATTTTTTCGCTGCCAAGCCATTGGTGCGAGATTTGGCTTCATTTGTCGCGCCGAGGCCGCAGTGGCAGCCGCCTGCGCCGCCTGGGAATAGCAACAAGGGCAAAATCTTTGCTTTGACACCTCCCCAATCACACCTTGTCGTCGACAACAAGGTTACTGCCAATGCAGGTACATGCGAGAAACCTACTTGGTAAGGCCCTAGCACACGGTGTGCCAGCGATGCTTCTAATTTCGTCCCCTCCGCCAAGAGAGTCTTCTCTTCCAGTCTTCCAGAACAAGCAACAAGCCTATCGATGAAGACAAGACATCCAGATCTTCGATTATCGAAATACTCCAGACAGTGGCTCCAAGGCTTATAAAATCGGTGGCGTCTTTATCCACGATACATGTTTTGGCTGGATCTCCTCGTTCAGCTTATCGATTCCAAGCCCTCCGGACTACAATTCCGCATGCCACGGCTGGAGGGCGCAGGCGGCCATGACCTGCGGCCCAAAGTGGGAAGCGGTCTGACTTTATGTCCTTGGCAGGTTGTTGTTTATACGAAGTCTCGGACAGTCATGGTCGAATCAGTTGCTGATACCAAGCCCGAGTGAGGCTCCAAGTCCTTCCTTGGTGTCGGTTGGACTCGGTGGGAGGCTGGATACTTCTGCATCTGAAGTTCCCAACACCTCGTGGTCCAGACTCAGGACAAGCTACTCGGACATGCCAAGAGGCTCTAGGAGTTCATTAATAGCACCACGAGCTGAGCTGACTTGATGCAAGCTGCAAAGCTATGGCTTGACCCAGTTCTCCAGATTCCGAAATCAGACTGCTCCGAAGGAAAAAAAAAAAAAACTTGTCCATGTCACGAGTTACGAGGACTATCGATTGGGGTTTATCGATTGGCAACGAATTTGCGTCATTTCTGACGGAGTGGCTGACAAGGATTGGCGGCCTCAAGCGGAGATCTAGAAGCTGTCGAAGCTGCATCTTTCCAGTAATTCTCCTTGCCATCCTGCAGCATCCATGCAGTATGATGTGGGATTCTGTCCCTTTCCGGCCATGACCTGGCAAAGTTCCTTGTGCCGAGAGTCTTCAGCTTCCCAGTGATTCCAACGAGTCTGCGGTCAGGACGGGCTTTCCCGCCGGGTTTGTACTGATGATTCGTGCAGCCCTCCGACTGACCAACTGATTGAATACCTCTTGCTGAAAATTACCCAAAAGAGTTCTGGGAGCATTGGATTGAGACAGCAGTCCATCCCAGACTCTGAAGCGAAAAAGGATCTTCGCGCCCGGAAAAGCTCTCCTCCAGCCGTTCGGAACAATGGGACATGCCTGACACATATGTCGACGACGGGTAACCGATACCTGTCCTTGACGACTCAGACACGGCGTCCGAATGCCTTAGGCCGGGGCTAGGCGTTCAACACAGGCAAGTCCTACGATGTACAAATCGGTCACTGCTGTGCTTCAAGATCTCATTCGACAAGATGCGACCCTACACGCACAGGCTTAATGCAGCTCGGACCATGCACACTCCCCGAACATGGTAAAACGGCGGTGACGACACCGACGACTAACATCCAGCGACACGGTTCAGGTCTTATGTCCTCTTTAGGCTGATCGATTGCCGTCAAGATGAGTGTTCACTAAGCACCCACCATCTCAGAACCCAGACACCACTCGGGCGAAACAAGATTGCTCTCCCGTGGCTTTGTCGTCGCGGGTTGGGTAGCCCGCCCTACACCATCTGTTGTTGCGCTAGAGAATTGATGGTCATATTCCAAACTAGGCTCTGGCCTGTTGAGGAGGGCCTTGTTTGGGCGAGAATTCGGTGAGAGTTGGCTTGCCTGAAATGGGTGTGCCTGACGGTCACGATCTTTGGCAGACGATAGCAGTCTCGGTGGCCAGGCCAAAACCCTTCAAGTTCGAGGCCATCCATCTAACCCACCTACCCAGGCAACAGGTGCGAGGCCATGACACAGTAGGGGTTACAGAAGGATTTGATTTATCAACCACATTCTGAGTCCGTTTATGAAATTGGGGCAGATCACCCATGCACGTTTTGAATTGAAAAGTTTGCATTGTCGTAGACCTCATTCTTCTATTAATGCCGTTTGGTTTCCCCGATTTGAAAAAGTCCGATTGACCATCAGCCTGGGAACCCCATCCATCCAAAGAAAAAGCCCTTCTCCTCTGGTGCCCTCTCCCTTGGACATACGAGGCAACAAACCGAAGAAATTAAGTCACCAGATTCATACCCGCATACCTAGGCAGGCAGGCAGGCAGGTAGGTAGGTACTCACTCACTGAGTAATATTCATTCCATTACTTGAGTTCGACCTTGTCGTCGTCATCACCCACGAGAATCTCGACCGGCCGACCCCCCTGATCGAGGGACCGGCGCCCCGCTTCCAGAATAGCCGTGGTGAGCACGGTGTTGCGCAGGGTGGGCAGCCCGCCCCTCTGGTCGAGCTGGGCGAGAGTGACGGTCCCGTCGTTCAGGGCCGTCACGGCGTCGATGAACTTTTCAAAGCTGACGTAGCCGTAGCCGCTCTGGCCGGCGAAATTGCCCTGCTCGTCGGGCGCGTAGCGCATGTAGAACGGGTTGTACCATTTCAGGGCACTGCCACTGTGGTCGGACTCGTCGACGACGTCGTACCCCCGCTTGGCCTGGTTGACGTTGATCTCGCCCCGAGAGGCGACGTAGTGGAAATGTTGCTGCGAGTGGACCCCCGCGTGCATGGGCGCCGTCCAGCTCGCCGTGTAGATGCCCGTGGCGCGCTTGGTTTGATCGCGAGGCTGCGTCCAGTCGACGAGTAACGTGATGGTGTCCTCTGTTCCCGCGGCGCAACCGACGCTTTCGCTCTCGGCGATGCCGCGGCTCGCGCTGGCGCGCACCGTCGAGGGCCGCCACCCGGCGTCGCGGACGATCCACTCGCAGACGTCGACGTGGTGCGAGTTGAGGTAGTACGAGATGTCCGAGTCGCGGCCGGCCCAGGCCTTGAACGTCGCCAGCTGCGACTTGGGCTGCGACATGTAGCTGTAGAAGTAGTTGAAGTCGCCGAGCGTGGCGGCGCGGAACCGCGCGTCCGCGTACGCCGGGTCGAACCGCTTGTGGTGCTCGACGTAGACGAGCACGCCGCCCCGCTCCGCCGTGGCCAGCAGGTCCAGGTGCTGCGCCAGCAGCTTGGTCGCTGGCTTGGTCAGAAGGACGTGGTGGCCGCGCTCGATGGCGTATTTGGCGATGTCGTAGTGTGTCGAGTCCGGCGTGAAGACCGTCACGGCCGACCGGGGCGGCAGGGCGTCGATGGCCGCCTTGTAAGCGTTGGGGTCCGTTTGGTCGTCGGCGGGGAACGACTTGAAGGAAACGTCCAGCCCGTTGTACGCCTCGGAGATGTTCTTCGTAAGGTGTGCTCGTATCGCTGGGAACTTTGTGCCCGAGACGCCGACCATGAAGAGGTCCGAGACTTTGCCACGACGGCGGAGGTCGAAGACTGTGATGGTGTCAGAAAAGTGGTATTCTCATGCCACGGTCAGATATGTAATTTGTTTCCCACAGGGTGGCTTTCTTTCCGGAGTGGATGACAAGATTATATATGGCAAGCAAAACTATGTTTCACTTGTCAATGCATCCCATCCGGGTGCCTCCTTAGCCTGGCCCATACCCTTCTCACAGCCCGAACATGTATCAACAAGGTCCCTAGAGAGGAATCTTCGTGTTGAACGATAGAATATAACAAAGTAAAAACACTTACGCGTCAGTCCAACCACACCCACTTTCTTGTCCGAGGTGGACGCAGCCCCCGAGACGAAGCCGGTCGTGTACTCACCTGTGCCGACCATCAACACTGCCGGCGGCGCCATGTCGACACTCTATGGCGGGGAAAGACTTGTAGGGTCGGATCGGGCAGGAGAATGAATAGAAAGTCCAGTTTTTTGAGTGCGTAAACCCCTTTCGAGTCAATTCGTGGGGTGAGGAGGTTCAATAACTCTTCAGTTCCTCGTCCGCTTCTCAACCTTCAAACAATCTCTTTGATTCATCCACTCGACAATTGGTTCATTAAGTGATTGAGTGGTTGAATCAATCCATCAAGTGAAAAGTGATCTGATATATATTGTCGTGGGGGGAAAACGCACCAGAGGGTCCACGACAAACAAAGCTCAACTCACCCCAAGGAACTTACACAAGTCCACCAACCAACCCACCCATGGATCTCTAGGGGTCTGGAGAGTAGAAACCCGAGCCCCGTCGTTAACGGTCGCCAGAACGGCTAGATTCATTCCCCCAGTGTCTCACCCAATTACCCATCCATGACTCTCCAACACACGTTGTACAGGTAGAGAAGAGGAGGAGGAGGGGAGGAGGGGTAGAGAGGAGAGAGGGACGAGACTTGGAAATTGGGTTTTATTGGTCACTGAATTGCCGATTGCCGATTTGGACCCGTCATCGGTCTTTTAATGTTCCCAATCCGGAATCAAGCGGCAATTGAATATTCGGTTTTTGCGCCCATGAGCATTTCAAGGACAACACCTCGTATAGATTGGAGTGAAAAGAGTCGTGGGGATGGGATTGGTTGAGGTTGGCAGGGGGGGGGGAATGAAAGAGAAGAGAAAATGCGTCTTGGGAAGAGATGGCATGTCAATGTAGATGTCCCTGATGGGTTTCTCTTGGACAATGTATTGATAGTATCAAGAGAAGAAGGTAGACTTTTCCATTCTGCCCCATTACATGATAGTAAAGTCCACCTTTACAAATGGAGGTCTAAATTCTGTCGGGCTATGGAATTCTGCAAACTCCTGAACGGGAATATCGGCGGCCGTGGGCCCAAAGAGGGGTTAGCATCACCACCAACAATTCATTTCTGGTCCCGAATACCTACGTATGACCTACCTACTGGCACGACTGAACACTGGGTTAAAGGATCATTTCTTTCATTCAACCCATTAAACATACCTAGAAAAGAAGGATCTCGTTTCATGGACTTGGGATCATTTCCAGGCATGACAGGCAAGTAGCCGCGAGAGTTGGCCCAGCCCGAGCCTCACTTCTGACCCTGGTCACCCTGCCATGTACCGGTTCATATATCCGGATTGTTGCCTCGAATGCGGATGGTGGATGTCGTATTTTCCCCAGAATCCGTCGGACCATATCCTTTGGCCCCTCCGACTCGGGTCTTCTTCATGTGCAATAACCTCTTAACACCGTGTCGACGTGCTAGATTGATCTATCCTCCAACCGTCCATGGCGACTAGAACCCCCATTAGCATTGAACGACCGAGCAAATGGGACAGAGTATCGTGTCGGCCTCGGAACCCAGATTCAATCCGAAGCCTGCTTCAGAGATGCCTTGGCAGCTCTAACCGATGACTGCGGATCTTGAGCCTCCTCACTGCCTCCCTGTGGTCCCTTGTTCAATGGGGTTTCGCTCTGAAGGTATGAGTAGACATGGCCCGTGCAGCTCGTGGTAGTATCGAGTATCTACCTCGTATGAGTAAGATCCCCAAATCCTTCAAAGTATCCAGCGCGGGATTATGTAACTAATCCTCCAGTTCGTCAGGCTCAAAACACTGGCAAGAATACAATGGAATCGTGGCCCAGAATCTCATTTGGTCAGGGGGCCGACTTCCTCCAGGCACTGCCAAGATTCTCCATGCTTTAGGGTCGGTCAGAAAGCCATCTCATCTGGATAGAGATCGGCCAACTCAAATAACGAAGGATGCCATCGCGCTTTCCTTTGTTGCCCCTCAGAGCATCTGGATCTCGCCGTCAAGTGCTGGTATGGTGAATTGGAATTATATCATGCAATGCAACATGGCTTTCCCTCGGATGCAGATCCATTCTGAATCTTCCATGGTCAAGGACCACCTCCATAGAGCGCGTCGCCCAGCATCGATCCACCCTATCAACATGACCTTGAAGGCGAAGCCGTTGTTTTGCATTGGGGTCCATGAACCCTTGCCCCGCGTCGCGTTGCAGAGTGTTCGTGCGGAGCAATTGCCAAATACGTTGTCGCCTGTGGGAGGCCTGTCAAGAGACAACCCAGTGACACACGGACAGTTGGTTGCTTCTTGTCCCGAAAGCCAGGACAGTGTGGTGGACATGCCTCCCAGTGGAAGAAGGATCTGTCATAATTACTGTTAGACAGCCTGACGTCCAAGACTGGCTTGTTCACGAACAGACATGTGCTCAACCATCCAGCGACAGTCTATTGTCCCTTCTCATCTATATTTCCTTCCCAAGATATCAGATTTCGCTGACGGGGCTGTCGGACCGTCAATATCATGCCGGTGCCATCCTTCTGGAGCCCCGTCTAAGGTGAGCCGGGAGCCTGCGCAACAGGGTCAAGTAAGGCATACTTCTTGAAGCTATATCTCCAGGATTGGAGATTCGAAAATGTCACCTCGGAATCAGGGGGCCACTGTCAAGTGCTGCTAGCGGCCTCCTGAAACAATGGATGGAAAAACTGGTTGCTTCTGTGACCAAAAGTGTTTGCGGCACATCAATATATTTGGTGCACCAGCCTAGCACGCCCGGATAGTCATTGATCTCGTAAGTAGTGGAGCTGACAATATCCGCGCAATGGCAGAAATCCGAACAGCGTCGATGCGTTGGGTTTTCTATGTTGATTCCCATATGACATGATCCAGAAACCGTGTCTTGACGGATCCAGTCACTGTCACAAACATTAAGGGAAAGTCAAAGGGCCCCAATTCGATTGAAACCCCCACAGTTGATTTTCTGGCACTGGTGGCAACAGTGGCACCAGTGGCACCAAAATTCTTGCAGGGGCCGGTCCCGAGCGAGCCGGTCCCAGAGACACTGTAAATGGCACAGACTGGCGAGAAGAGGGCACCGCAGCAGTAATAGAGCAGGAATGCCTCGCCAACAGCTGTAAGAAAGCCATCATCATATGAGATGGTGTTCCATCCGTTCTTGGACACCACGCCACCATTGGGCTTCGAAGATTCCTCGGACAGTGGTCTGGTGAAACAGTGCTTCACCGTATGATCCCCCACCCGTTGGTCGTATTCGATATCCTAATCATCATCGATACCTGTACATAAGATTGGCCGCCACGCACGTGCGGTCACCTTATCGCTATTGAGCGCGCTGGCGATATCAGAGAGAGCCCGTAGTTTGTGTCAGACACACATAGGCGTCACTTACAGTTTCTGAATACGGCTCACCGGCCAGGAGCCGGGCAGAGTTTGGACCATTGGGCCGTCCCTTCTCGGCACGTAATAATGACAGCCTTTTCTCGAGGACCGTGGTGCTCGTTCTTGACCATGACCCACCGTTAGCGATTGGTACTCTCAATACTCTCATTGCAGCATCGACTCACTGCCAGTCGAATTCGGCCCCGAGGTGCCTGGGGCTGTCTTCTTCTTGCGCCTTGGATCCCTGGCCTGGGTGCCTGGCTTGATCGGACGAGCATTGTCATCCAAGGGTGATGATGCGCAGGAATTTCGGCTTAGCTCAAAATGTGCTGAGTTACAGCAAAAGCTTGAGTGATTTTCCGCCAATGTCCTGAGTCAGAGTGACGTTCCGATACCAGGGGATCCATTCTGATGTCAAATAATATGCTTGCAACAGTAGATTATCCATACTTGTGCAGACATACGGCTAGGCGTGAAGAAAAGCTCGCTTGCGAGTATTCGTGCCCCAAGAACAAGGTCTGAGTCTGGGTTTTCTCTCCGAAGGCTTGTATTGACCTATTTCGGGATTGTTGGAATCAGGAAGGCCCAATCTCGTCGATGGCTACGGACATCCTCCATAGACCCGGTGGAGTTGGCGTGTTTGAGGATGCTTCCTTGGGTCCCTGTAGCCTTGTATTTTTGTTTTATGTGGTAGGAACTTTAAACCCCGGGGATATCATAATGCATGTTGACCGAGGGGAGTCTAGATTCGTAGGCATAGCCATAGCCAGGCCTAGGAGAAAGACGTCGTCGGTTAATTGTTAGTCAAGTCCATCTCGCTGACTATCGCTCGATTCGCCCGTAAGATGCATACCCGGCGGGTGGCGTATAGTCGGCTTTCTGGAGGATGGAGAATATAACGCCTCTCTATACGTGAGTAGCGGATCGAATCCCTCCACCCAGCCAATTGTAAGTGTAGACGAAATGCTCCATGCTGACCAGGTATTGGGGCAATGTTGCACCTTCGGCCTTCCAAAATCAGTATCAGTTTGCTGTCGAGTTCAGGTTTTCAAGACTGCAATCCCCCGCTTCCAAACGATTGTCCTCTGCACTTTTTTAAGACAATTTCATGTGTTCATGCATGTGTGCCTAAGACTCCAGTGTTAGCCTCACGCGCTGTTCCCTTCAACTGAGGAGTCCTTTTCATATCTTCGACAACAAAGAACCAGGCACGAAGATGGCAATCGGTAGACCTCGTATACCTGGCACTGAGGCGGAAAGAGCAGAGGCACGGAGGAGCAAAGTTCGTGCGTAAGTGTGACTGGGGCGTTTGTGATGTTGTGGTCAACGCTTGTACTGACAGTGCACGCTGTCAAGCAATGTTCAGGCATTTAGAAGGCGCCAGAAAGAGAAGCAAATCGCAGAGCAGGCATTCCGGTTGCAGGCCAGGGAAGATAGCCGGGTCCAAAAGCACAAATCCCTTGCCCGCCATCAGCCAACGATCGACGCCAACGCCTACAACTGTCCGAAGGCCTGCGATGCTTCTTTGTTTCCTGCAGAAGATGCTGAATTCTGGTTGTGGGCCATTCCCTCGGAAATGGGTGCAAGGCTTGTAGGTTCGACTTACCATGTTGCATTCGTCCAGGATCTCAAGAATAGGTTCGTTACACTTCGAACGCTGCGCGAGCGAGCAAACAACAGAGCTGGACAACATCTGTCAATATGCTGTTCAACATGGGTCACAACTGTAACCCTCGAAATGGACAGGCCTGAAACCGAAGTCCTGATGGAAGCTCTCTTAGCTGCCTCTCTGGCCAAGGTTGGCAAAGATCGCAGTGAACCAGATATGGTCCTGCAAGGAGCCTACATGCAGACCCACGCATTGCAAAGGCTGCGATGTTCGTTGAAGGGATATCAAGAGGGTGATAGAGAAATTTCGCCCACAGTATTGTCTTCAACAGCCCTGATCTGTGCCATGTCGGAGCTGATAGCCAACAAATCCTGGGACAACTTTAACTGTCATTTGCTGGGAGTGGGGGCATTGATATTCCATGGTGGCACCGAAGTAAGTGTTCACATCGTCTTCCTGAATACATACCCGGCAGCACTGACAAAACACCTTCATGAACGATAGGGTCTGACCCAGCAGTCATCCCAGGAGCATTTTTACGGGTATCGTGCACTGCAAACACCGTTTTTGTTCATGAGTCGGCAGCAGACGTTCCTGTCCGAGCCGCAATGGATTGACTTCCCATGGAAAAAAGGGGTGGAGCTCGCTCAACAACCCCTGCATTCGATGCTCGATATTGCCCTCAAGGCCTTACCAGAAATTGTCAAGCAGGAATCGGCCAAGAGTTGGAGCCTGTCCTGCCTCAAAGCGAGATATGAAACGGCGTCCGCGATAGTGGAGGAATTGAATGACTGGGAGCGACAGCTGCAATCACAACAAGAGGGTTCTCTATACACCAAAGTCATGGCCAGTTGGGGAGGTGTGTTCCAGCGTCGCCTCTACTTTCCCAACTCTTCGATCGCCCTTGCATTTGCCATGTACACGGCCGTCAGAGTACACGTGGCGACGCTTATCACTGACATCTCGGAAGAAATGGCTTCCCATGCGCCCACAACTGATACAGACAGAAAATCAGCTGCGCTGGAGGCATTGCGGTGGGCACGGCTTGCCTGCCAAAGCCTTGAGTACTTCCACACTGGTGAGTCCAAGGTTTCTGGGCTGATAGATACCCTTTGGCCACTTGAGAGCGCCTGGGAGCTCTTTTCAAAGCTGGAGGGAGAAGGGTTCGTCGACGTCTCGCAAGAGATTGCGTGGTGTCGATCTGCAGCTGAACAATACGTAAAGCTCGGGATTCCTCCCTTCAAATGGCGATAACAAAAGCGAAGGATGGAAAAGGAGGTTTCCGAGCCTGTTTCCACAGCTGGTGCAAACACCCCATCCCCTTTCCTTGACCGAAACCGCCCGAGGACGCAACCAAAGCTGAAAACTCGAGTCGAGGAGAACACCAGGTTCAGGGCAGTGCTGTCGGAGGAATTTCCTTTGTGGGTGAACACATGCTGGTGATGTTGAGATGTTGGGACATCACCATGTCGCCTCATGTTGAGCTCAGCCACGGGGGGCGAGAAAGTGTGGCGTCGTTGTAATTCACGTGACCAAACTGACCAAATCACTTGTGGCTGGTGAACAGCGAGCCACCCAGCGTACTCGGTAGAGAAAGTCTGCCAACCACCCAGCCTACTCGCTGCTTGGCATTCCAGCCATTCGAAAACCCTCCTGGTGCTGTTAATCCAGCCCATGAACCATGGTGGTACAGTACGAAAGCGCAGTCTTCCGCGAGCCAGTGGCGGCTGCACCCTCCACCAAACCTGAGACTCGAATTCCCCTCCACCGGTCTCCGCAAGAATGCTGCCAGCCTGTTCGCATCGTCCGATATCGTGGTAATGCCAGGGCAATAAATGACGGAGGTCAAGAAGAACAAGACCGAAGCCAAGGATTCTGAGGAGGAGTTGAACGTTTGAGGAGTTCTTGTCCACACACAAATTGCTGGGCAGGACTTGGTTCAGGCTTGGAATTCACGGAACACCTTTTCACTCCAACAGATGCAGGAGTATGACCATCGGTAGAAGAGATGGAGGATCGCCAGACAACAACACTTTTTATTTGCAGAGCTTGGGGAAGTGATATCCCTTGATATATGCACAATGGGGAACCTTGTTGGCTCTACATTTAGGGAATAGTGCCTTGATGCAGGATTGGACCATACAGGGCGCAAGCTGGTGTTGGTGATCCATGCTTGTATCCCCCACACCTTTTCAGGGGCCTCACCTAGTCTACTGAGCAGAGGTGATGAGGATGGATGAGCTTTCATATATCCACAGGGGCGTTGCTCTTGTATCTCTTGACTTTCGCTCCTGTCCGGGCGCCTCTTCAAACGCCGATCACATGTGTCACCCCTCGTTGAGTGGCCCAATTCGCAATGTTTGTCTCTGCCCAGAATGTGCCTATCTGCACTGCCTCAATCTGGGCAACGTCAAGACCACTTCATCCACCACAATCTGCTCCAGTTCTGCATGCGCCGAGCAGTCGCAAACCATGGCATTCTCATCTGGGCAGAGTTTTCCTCTGCTCTCATTTGTAATTTGTGAAATGGCCTCATCATCACCCGGTTGGTGCCTTACTCCTCACCCGACACCTCATAAGCCACGCTTTTGCCTATAATACAAGGCTGTGTGCAGTGCATGCGTCCCAACCTGTTGCCTGTCTGCTACGTACCGACTCTACTGCCAGCCAACTCCTCGATCTGAGCAGTCCTGCTCAGCCATCAGTGTTCGCAATGGAGGAGACAAATTCGCCGCCTCCGTCACCACCTAAAATCACAGTTGATACATCGGTAAGCCGTTTCAATAAATAATGGCGATTGTGTTGTGTTTCAGAATCTCTGACCTTTTCGGCCTCAGAATTTATCAGGGCAGCATCGGGCCGAATCATCAAATACTTGGGTAACGTTACCGAGTCACCACAGGGGACTGAGCATGTCCACACCTCCCCAAACCGCCATAGACGACAGCGCATACCTATCCCCTACTTCTCCTGAGCGCAGAGCACAGTACGATGGGTCAACTCTCAATTCTAGGTCGGGCTCTGTCGCTTCGGGCGAGACTGCAACACGATTCCGGTCAAATTCAGGTATATCGGCTGGTTCCACCACGACCTTCTACTCCAAATCTAGCCTCGAGTTTGAACCTCCCGAAGAAGCCTTGCGAGCCGACAAGGGAGATGAGAGAGACTTCGATGTCCCTAATAATCCCTTTGCCTACTCCCCGGGTCAACTGAACAAGCTCCTGAACCCCAAATCACTGTCCGCCTACAAAGCACTAGGAGGCTTGAGGGGCCTCGAAAGAGGTCTGCGGACCAGTATCTCAGCTGGATTGTCAGTGGACGAAACTCGCCTCGAGGGACAAGTCTCTTTCGAAGAAGCGGTTGCTGCTGGGTCCAGCCATGAAGGACTGTCCGAAGTCAAGCTGGACAGATCGGATTCAAATGGCAGTGTGGGCCAGCGCGAAGTCAAGGG